CCGTCGCCCGTCGTCCGTCGTGCGGCCCGCCGCCCGCCCGCTGTCTGCGTCCGTCGATCGTCGTCCGTCGCCCGTCGTCCCTCGTCCGTCGTCGTCCGCCGTCGTCGTCGTCGGCCCTCGTCGTCGTCGTCGCCATTGTCGTCGCCGTCGTCGTCGTCGTCGCAGTCGTCGTCGTCGTCGGCGGCGTTTGTTCGTCCGCTCTTTCGTACGCTCGCTCGTCCGTCATTGTCACCTGTCCGTCGTTCGTTGATCGGTTGTCGTCGACGTCGTCGCCGGCATCGATGTCGGTCTCGGCGTCCTCGTCCTCCTCGCTCTCGTCTTTCCCAGGCATCCGGCGGCTCAAAGTCATGACGACACATTCGCTACGGCAGCTCCGCGTCGTGTCGACCCCGTCGCTGGCTCCTGACATCGCGGGGACCATCCGATCGTAAACGATCGGCCGTTTCCGAATCTGCTACACGCAAGAGTGACCCTAGGCACGAGTGACCCTCGGTGCGCGGAGTAAGGGGGCGCAGAATGGCCAAATCCAAGCGCGCAAGCTGCAGCTATCGCATCGCGCTCAGCGATCGGAGGGGCCCCTACGAGCCCGCACCAAAAAGGTCACTCCAGCGAAAATGCCACTCTTACGTCTAGTCGACCGAAAAGCCGGATCATTCAACGAGCGGCCGATTCTGGACTGCCGGCGGCGTTCAACGTTGAACGCCGACTGCGGGGCCGCCGCATTTTGAGCCTCTGGAACCGTGTTTGAAGGGGCCCAGGGACGCACAAATAAATAAACACAAAGCCCAGGATCCCCTATCTTTTCTAACATGTTCTGGATTCTCGTCTCCCCCCCACTTCCCACACTTTCCCATATCTTCCCGGGGATCGACGACTAATTGTGTCTGTGTGCTTTTCCCCCTCCTGGGCACAGTGCGGGCGCGGCCGCAAGAAACCCTCGCAAGAAACCCAACCCTAAAAACCGCGCACGAGTTGCACTTGAGGAAAAACCCAGAGCACCCTGAACGCAGCAGCTACTTTCAGGACCGCGGGACGTCACTGCGCAGCGCGCGGAGCGAAGAAACCCAGGGCACCCTGACGAAAAGCATCTGGTTTCTTGATGTGCGCCCCCACTGCATTTTGGGTCGACACGACGCGAATCTGCCGCATCTTGGGGTCCCTGCTCGGGCCCCGTACCGGGCCGCCCTGGGGTGGCTCTGCCAGCCCCAGGGGGAAGGGGTGCCCCCGGGGCCCAGGTCTAGGAGTCGGCGGCGAGCGAGGGGGGAAAGTGAGAAGGCAAAGGCCTGCTCAGAAGGCGGCGGAACTTCTCAGAAGCCCTCGCGCCTTCTGAACAGTTTTCCGCATCTTCAGGGAAGGCCTAGAACACTTCTCAGAAGCATGGGGGGCCTTCCGAGCCTTCTGAGAAGGCCCGCCCCTTCCTACTTCCCCCCTTATTCGCCGCCGAGGAAAGAGTGGGAACGACGGGCGTGTGGGTTCTGACGAGTTGTGCCGTCGATAAGACGCGGCAAAGACGAGGATGAATTCTACTGAGGATAAATCGGGAATCTCTGAGGTCTGGCAGCTCTGGAGGATGCATCGGGCGCCGCCGTCTTCTCAGAGCGTTCCGGAACGCTCTGAGAGCGTTCCGGAAAGCTTTGGAACGGATTTATCCTCGTCCTAGCCCCGTCCGAGTCGACCCTCGAGAATCAAAGAAGGAGACGTATCCAGGGCGTTCCGAAGGGGCAGTGCCTTCGAGGATTGAGGGAACTGTCCTCTCTTCCTCGTCGGAAGGCGGAAGTGCGGCGGAAGCAAAGCGAGGCCGCCTCCGCCGTCGGCAGCTGGCGGAAGGGCGGCGGAAGGGCGGCGGAAGGTGGCGGAAGTGAAAAATGCGCCCCCAAGAGCTGACAACATCTATGGGTTCAGGGTTTCTGAAATCCGCTATTTGAACGACTGTAGCAGGTTTCCTGACACGTATGGCCCGTTGTTGGATCTCTGGGGGCTTCCAGAAGACGCATGGGCGGTTGGGGGCCCTATGGCCCTATGGACAATCTTATCACTGTCTTCGACCTTGCCTTCCTGCGACCTCTTCCTTGTCACCGAGATCATCCTCATCCCTGGCTACGGCATCACGCCCAATTATCTTCCGCCCAAGTGGTCTCACCCTCCTCCTCCTCCTCCTGCTCCTCCTCCTCCTTGTCTTCGACATCGTCATCCTCTCTATCCTGCACCCTGCTGCTTATCCTCCTGCTCTTCCTCCTCCTCCGCCTCGTCCTCCTCCGCTTCCTCGTGATGATCCCCCTCCTCCTCCTCCTCCTCCTCCTCCTCCTCCTCCTCCTCCTCCTCCCATGCATCTCCTTGTAACTATTACGGTGCTACTCCAAATGCTGCTACTGCTTGACTCCATCATCCTACTCATCACGGTCATCAGCCTGCATCCCCTCCTCGAGCTTGACATCGGCATCGTCCTCCTCCCCATCTCCATCGGACTCCTCGCCCTCCCCCTCATCCCGCTTCGTCCCCCTCGCCCTCGCCACCGTTCCACCACTGCTCTCGCCATCGCCACCGTCACCGGCCTCACCGTGCTGCTCGCCAGTCCGCTCGGCCCGTGGCTGCCCTCTCCGGGCGAGGCGGCGCGAGGCACGCACGCACCGGTCCGAGAGCACGGCGCGCGCCCTCGCCGCGGCGGGCTGCCTGCCACGACGGCCGCCCACGGAGGCGCGCCGAGGGCAGGGAGCACGCCGCACAGGCCGCGCTCGCGGCGCGGGGGCCCTGCGGCAGGCCGCCCGCGCGTAGGAAGGCTCGCCCGGGCTCCGCCTCCCCGCTTTGGGGCCTGGCGCGCTCTGCGGGCGCGCAGGTCCTGCTGTGCTCGACGGGACGAAGACGACCCTGCGGCATAGGGGCGGGCGAGGATCGAGGAGGGAGCGGTCATCATGGAATCGGAGAATCAGCTCGAATGGGGAGGCGCGTCGGATCGGGCCGCATCGGCACGAAGTCCGAACCGAATCGCATCGGCTGCAAAGGGAAACACAGCAGCGCCATGGAAACAGCGAACCGAATCGGACCGACGGAAGATCAGAATCGGATCGGTTCGGGCTGGTCAGGATCGACATCGAACACGACCACTCGGATCGGCATGGACCCTGCCAGGGAGGCGCACCGACGTAGGCGGCGACCGCGCAGGCGCCAAGCGCGCGGGGCAGGGCGGCGCGCGCGGAAGCGCGGAACGCGGGGGCGGTGAGCTGCGAGGCCCCGTCGGCAGGCGCGCGCGCGCCCCCTCCTCCTCAAAGCCCCCCTCCCTCCACCCCTCTCCCTACGCTTCCTTCTCTCCCCCGCACTGCGCCCGTGCCTCTGGCCCTCAGCCCCGCCCCCGCCCCTGGAACTCTAACCCGCTGCCCTTCCTCCAGCAGCTTCGCTGCCCCACCTGCTGCAGCTCTTGCTCGCTGTCCTCCTCCTCCTCCTCCTCCTCTTCCTCCTCCTCCACCTCCTCCTCCTCCTCCTCCTCCTCCACCTCCTCCTCCTCCTCCTCCTCCTCCTCCTCCTCCTCCTCCTCCTCCTCCTCCCCCTGCTCATCCATAACTCCTCTCTGCCGCACCCCAAGACGTGTCGGTTGGGCGGGCCGGGCGTTTCGCCTGAGGCTTCCTCACACAATCTGATCGTTGAGCCTGAGAGTTGCAACAGCATCAGCATTAGGGATGAAGGGCGGACCGTTTTCAAACTGTGACTCTCGCTTTAGCGCCGCACGCGTTCGTACGACGCCCAACCATTGAACGGATGGAATGCGGGCCGCTTTCAAAATATACCTCTCGCCTTAGCGCAGCGCACATTCGTATCACCAATTCGCGACAGCTTCAAAGATGGAGGGCGGTTCCTTTTCAACACGTGGTCGCCGGGCAAATGCGCAATACAGGTGTGCATCCGCTTCAAGGGTGGAGGGCGGCTCCTTTTCAAAATGTGGTCGCCAGACAAACGCGTAATACAGGTGTGCATCCGCTTCAAGGGTGGAGGGTGGCTCCTTTTGAAAATACAGCTCTCGCCCCATTGCCGCGCAGGTTCGTCTTGAATATTTGCAGCAGTTTCAAAGAATCGTATGGCTGAATCCCAAGACAGGCGTTTTGGCACGACAACGGATTGCCAGGACGCGCTAATGACGTTCATTCGCGGTGTTGGAATTCCAGGAATGGTGAATGGTGTGCTTACGATTGTCGGGACGCAACAGTCACGTGGATTCCCGGCGCTGAAATCCCAGGGATGGCGTGCTGGTGCGATTTAAGGTTATAAATACGGACAGATCACGTTGATGCGCGGCGCTGAAGTTCCAGGAATGGCGTTTTGGCCGGATTGGTGCTTCTCAGTCGGTTGTCTTCCAATCTTCCAATGGTGCACTTCCCGCAATTGGTCGGGAACTATGACGAGGGAACTCTTGGAGGCAGGGTTCATTGCAACATCGTTGGTGCGCCTTTGGTATGCACTGATCCTCCCCATCCTCATCATTCTATTCCTCCTCTTCCTCGTTCTCGTTCTCTAACCTTCCTCCCATATTCCCCATCCCCCCGCCCCTCGCCCTCGCCCTCGCCCTCCCCCTCCCCCTCCTGCTGCCTCCTTGCCCTGCTCCTCACTAATCCTCGGCGGCGCGCGGGAAGGGGGGGGGGAGTGCGAGGGGGCGGGCCTCCTTAGAAGGCCCGGGAGCCCCCTGGCCTTATGAGAAGTTTGTCCGAGCCTTCCACGATGGTGAACAGACCTTCTCGGAAGGCGCCACGGCTTCCGAGCAGCCCCGCCGCCTTCTGAAAACGGCCTTTTCCTCCTCACCTCCCCCGCCGCTCGCCGCCCAGATCCAATACCATACCCCCAACCACCACCCCACTGCACGCGCACGCAGCCCCCGCCCCGCCCCCTCGCTGCTGCCTTTGCATGGGGTTGCGGAGGACGTCGGCGACGCGCAGGGGGAGGGCGGCGCGAAGGGCCGCCAGGAGGAGATCCCTTGCGCGCTTCCGCTCCCCCCTGGGATGCCCCACCCCCCCCCAGCCTCGGCCGCGGTCGGCCTCTTCCGCGGGTCGACCTCCCCACGCCGCAGGAGGGCGCGTGAAACGGAATGGGGAGGGGTTCGTCATCGTCCTCCTTCTCCTCCTCCTCTTCCTCGTCGTCGTCCTCCTCCTCCTCCTCCTCCTCCTCCTCCTCCTCCTCCCCACCATCCTCCTCCTCTTCCTCATCCTCGTCCTCCTCCTCCTCCTCCTCCTCCTGCTCCTCCTCCTCCTTCTCCTGCCCCTCCCCCTCTTTCACTTTCTCTCCCTCCTCCTCCTCCTCCTCATCATCATCATCATCCCCCCCTCCCTCCCTCCCCCCTCCTCCCCCTCCTCCCCCTCCTCCCCCCCTCCTCCCCCTCCTCCTCCTCCTCCTCCTCCTCCTCCTCATCATCATCATCCTCCTCCTCCTCCTCATCCTCATCCTCGTCCTCCTCCTCCCCCCTCCCCCCTCACCCTCCTCCGCAAGGGTGGACCAAGAAGCCGAGGTGTGGGCAGAGGGGCAGCAGCAGGAACGCGACTGTGTGTGTGTATGTGTGTGTGGGTGGGGGGGGGGGGGCACGGGAAGGCGGAGGAGGAGGATACGCGAGAGGGGGGGAGAGGAGGAGCAAATGGGGTGGAAGAAGGTGGGGGGATGGGGAGGCGAAGGGGGACACGACGGGGAGACTGTGGGGAGACTGCGGGGAGGAATGGGAGAGTGATGATGATGTTGATGCTGCTGCTGATGATGATGAATGCTGCTGGTGATGTTTATGAATATGATGATTGTGATGGTGATCATGTTGTCGTTGATGGTGGTGATGATGACAACGATGATGTTGAAAATGATGATGATGCTGATGATGATGATGATGGTGTTGAGAATTATGATGGTGGTATTGATGATGATGGTGGTGGTGATGACGAGGATGGTGATGATGAAGGTGATGGTTATGATGGAGTTATTGAGAATGCAGGTGTTTACGATGATGGTGCTGTTGTTGATGATGGTGGTATTGATGATAGCAGTCAGGGTGGTGATGGTCATGATGGTGTTCATGCTGATGCTGTTGCTGCCGATGCTGATGGTAAGCGTGCTGATAACGACGGCAAGTATGATGATGGTGGTAATGATGCCGATACTGATGATGATGTTGATGGCGAGGATACGGATGCTGAGGATGATGATGCTAATGCTGATGATGGTCATGATGGTGATGGTGATGGTGATGGTGATGGTGCTGCTAATGATGATGATGATGATGATGATGATGGTGATGATGATGTTGTTGATGATGATGATGATGATGAAGAAGATGATGATGACGATGACGATGGCGATGCTGCTGATGATGATGGTGATGATGACGAGGAGGAGGAGGAGGAGGAGCACTTGCGCAGCACAGCGTGCAGGGATACAGAGAGAGATAGAGAGAGAGAGAGAGAGAGAGAGCGAGAGCGAGTGGGAGCGGAAAGGGTGAGGCGTCAGTCAACCGACGGATGCAAATCACGGCTGGGCGCTGTAACCGCCGCAAGCTCGCGCTCCAAACCAGCAGCTAGGGCCGTGGCCCTGCATAGCTGGGAAACTTACCTTGCGTGATGCGGGCCACGTTCTCGCGACCCTTCTTAGGAGGGTTTGGGCAGGCAGCAACGACCTGGCGTTCGTCAGCAGCAGGCCGTACGTCCACAATGGTGGCAAAAGTGCATGCGGAAGCGGCCCCAGAACACAGAGCTGTGGGAATCACACAGGGCGAGGCCGCAGACAGCACCACGAGCCCAATCATGAAAGCAACACTATTCATGGGCCCCTTCTGGGCCGCGACGGACAAAACCAGTCCGTCAAACAGAATCCCAGGAGTTCCCCACACGTCGAGAAACAACCGCACCTGGAGCACGATAAAGCCTCCCTCACCTCGAAGTGCAATGGACACTAGCACGAGCAGCCCAATCCCTCTTGGTGCCACGACGGGCCCCCTCTGGGGCCAGAAGACTGACTTTGGCTTTGACGGGATCAGCTGCAGCCGCGTCGGCGAGGGCCCGCCGAGAGCTCCTTCTGACCTAACGAGGGGGGCGGTCGTGTCCCACTGGTCCGTCGCGGGTGTGTTGTGCACTCTTCACGCGGGTCAACATGGGAGGGCACCCGTTCAACGGCAACACCACGTCCCCGTTCGGCCCGTCAAAGACCCGAAGCCTCCCGCGCCCCCGTCCGACGAGAAGAGGCTTGTGATCGCCGGCAGCCCGGACGGCGCCCATCGAGCCATCGGGGGCCAGAGCCAAGGCCGCCGGCTCGGCACGAGGCGCGGCCTGTGCGCGGCCAGCGGGGCCCGCCGACACTCCCTCCGGGAACTGCCCAACTGCCAGGCGCACTCTAGGAGAGGACAGCAGCGCTCGAGCCGCACCTGTGACGACGAGGATCGGACGAGAGATAGGAAGGCACCAACTATACACCAACACCGATCCTGGCCAGGATCACCCTGGGCCCAGGATCGGTGTATACCCCCTCCTGCCTGGGCCCAGGGCGATCCTGGGCCAGGATCGGTGTTGGTGTATAGTTGGTGCCCTCCGAGAGAGACAGGCGTGACCGAGGCAGGCGCACAGCACTCACCGAGAGGAACAACTCACAGTGTCTGGGCAGGGTGGGCGAGAACCATGGACGCAACTCCTCTTAGCCAAATGCCAGAAGAGGCATCAACGCCAGCCAACGCCTGCGAAACGAGGTCGTCGCTCTTGGCGTACTCCTCGTGGTCAACGTTGGCCGCGTTGGCCGCGTCGGGGCACTTCTAGCGTCGGGGACACAGCTGCTCCTCTAGATCGCCCAGGGGGAACCGCCTAACTCGAGGCCGTTGGGCTCCTCCGACCACGGCCATAGCAAACCCATGCTCACTGAAAAAGGCCGTCCTTAGACAACTGGGCCAACCCGCGACGGACAAGACAAGCCCCCTCCATCCTGCAACTCAGATCCTTCCTCGTGCTGGGCCGCCGCAGCCCAAAACTCAGACCTAAGATCTGGTCGCACGTCCTCCAGGTGCTCCAAAACGTCAAATTACAAAGAGTCGCGACCTGGCTTCTTGGAGGTTGGAGCCAACCACTCCTCAACAAGTCCACTAAGAGTGCGCCGCTGCCAGAGACAAGACTCCTCAGAGTCCCACCTTGCGTCTAGCAGCGTGGCGTGAACAGCAGCAGATGGAGGAGGAGGAAGAGGAGAACGAGGAGGAAGGGGGTAAGGAGGAGGGCGGGGAAACGAGGGGACGGAGAAGGAGGAGGAGGAGAGGAGGAGGAGGAGGAGGAGGAGGAGGAGGAGGAGGAGGAGAAATAGGGAGAGGAGGAGGAGGAAGTGGAGGAGGAGGAGGAGGACAGGGAAGGAAGGGGGGAGAGGAGGAGGAGGAGGAGGAGGAGGAGGAGGAGGAGGAGGAGGAGGAGGAGGGGAGGAGGCGGGGGAAGCGGGTGGAGCAAGAGGAGGAGGCGCCCGCGGGCGCGCGGTGCGGGGTGTCGCGGATCAGGGTTGTCCGCCAGGGATGGGCGTGGAACGGGCGCGGCAGTAGGCGGGGGGAGTCGAGGGCTGGAGAGCGGGGAGGGGGGAGGGTTGGTGAGGGGCAGAGGGAGAAGGGGAAGGGCGCAGTGGGGGGAATGTGTGGGGGAGGGGGAGGGACGAGCGGGCAACGGACGACAGAGAGAGAGAGAGAGAAGACGCGCCTCTCCGCGCCACCCCCCACTCGGCCTCCCCGCCTCTTTCTATGTTTGCTGTTCTCTCTCTCTCTCTATTTATCTCTCTCTCTCTCTCTCGCTCCCCCTCTCTCTCTCGTTCAGATGTTTGCGTTTTCTCTTTCTCTCTCTCTCTCTCTCCCTCTCTGCCTGTCTGTTCCTCTCACCCTCTCCCTCTCGCTATGTATGCCTCTGTATATGTCTATGTCTCTGTCTCTCTCCGTCTCTCTCCGTCTCTCTCTCTCTCTCTTCCTCGCTCACCCCTCTCTCTCTCTGTCTCTCTCTCTCTCTCTTTCCTCGTGGCCCCTGCAAAGCGCCCTGCCCACATCTTCGCCGACAACCATGGCGTCGCCGAGGGATTCCAGGGAATCTTGAATGGGGCGTGCCCCCGCGTAGAGGCCCGCAACATGACACTTGGAAACGCATGTGCTGTGCGCTCCGGACTTCTTACGTGTGGAGGATGTCGCGAGCCGCCTCGACGAGGAGGTGTGCCCACAGCCGCAGAACCGCCGCGGCCAAATACATCACCTGGCACGCCGACACGCTCAGCCCCCGCCGCCATCACCATCCACACCCTCCATGCAGAGGTCGTCGGGGAGGCCAAGCAACGCCACCGCCTTGAACTCGTGCTCCACAGCGTGGCTGTGGCCATCCACGGCAGATGGCACCAGACACTCCCCCTCCCTCTTCGTAGGCCAAGAATGCACTGTGGCAGAATTCAGGAGGATGAGCCCCCATCTGCATCAAGGAGGAGGGCCCTGAGGGCCCCCTTTCCAAACGGAACCCCCGCACCTTCCGCCTGACTACTAGGCTCTGCAGCATCTATCGGGCGCCGCGGCAGCTCCAGAGCGTTCTGGAAGTCTGGAACGCTCCCAGAGCGTTCTAGAACGCCATGGAATAACTTATCCCGCTCCTGGAATAAAGGAAAAACGCCATAAACATTATTTTTCGGCGCTCCGCACGGATTTCTTGGATCTGCGCAGGACCCACTCCCTGGCGCGCGGAGCGCGCCAGGGGCGGCGCCAGAGGCGCTGCCGGGGGGCCCAGCGCGGATCCAAGAAATCCGCGCGGAGCGCTAAAAGTTTACGTTCATGGCGTGTTTCTTCTTCGATGGGCCTGCCTGACATGGCCCACTCCCCCCGCCCCATCCTGCAGCAGGCTGGCCAGGAGGTCCCTGGCGCCGTCTGGGGCGCTGGCCAGCGCCCGGGAGCCTGGGTCCAGCGGCTCCCTGCCGGAGGAGACCTAGCGCGAGGGCGCCGGGGCGAGGGCGAGGGGGGAAAAGTGGGTCGGTCGGCTCAGAAGGCGGGCCCGTGCAGAATCACAGCGCCGTCTCGTGCCCCCGATGGGGGCCACAGGGTGGGATTTGCGCGCTCGGAGGCGGAACGGAACGTCTGGGTACGATGCCCAGCGGAAGGACCCGCTCCTGTGTAGCAAGAGTGGTTGTCCTTCAGATCCCTCCTGACAGCAGTTCTTGTCATGTTGATAGACATTCGCGTGAATCTGGGCAGAAAGTGCTGTCAACTGGACAAACAGCGTCGTCAAGTAGACAATCGTTGTTGTCCGATGGACCCTGAAGGACAACACATCTTGATCCATGTGAAGGCCCTGCTCTTGGGCACCGTACAGTCGGACCTAGGCCAGAGGAGCATCCCTCAAGAATACGAGACCCTCCCACGGCCAAAACAAACAGAACATCGGAGGGTACCCTCCCCAGGATGCGCAACAACATCCAACAAGCACGAAGAACACCAAGGTACCCTCTCCGAACCGACCTCGACCTTCTACCTTCTACCTCAGACCGGCTGTATTTTCTTGGCCACCCTGCCCCACTGCGAAAAAAAACCTCCGCAGCCCCAAACAACCAAGGGGGAAGGGGGGGAGGAGGGCGACGAGCGGGAGGAGGGTGAGGAGGACTAGCCGAGGGGGGGGGGAGGAGGGAGCCGAGGAGGGGGGGAGGAGGGCGACGAGCGGGAGGAGGGTGAGGAGGACTAGCCGAGGGGGGGGGGAGGAGGAGGACTAGCCGAGGAGGGGCTTGGAGGAGGAGGGAGCCGAGGGGGGGGGGGCAGGAGGGACGAGCACGGCCAGGGGGAGGACGGGGAGGGGAGAGGGCTCCGGGAGTGGTGAAGGTCGGCTACCCGCGCGCGCGCGCGCCCACGCAGGCGCACGAAGGCCCAGGCCGCAACGGCAACGGCCAGCGAGGACGACGACGACGACGACGACGACGACGACGACGACGACGACGACGACGACGACGACGACGACGACGACGACGACGACGACGACGACGACACGGAACGGCGACCCGCGGGGCGCCCACAGGCGCCCGCAGCGGCGCGGCCGACGACGGCGACGGCGACCCTGCTGCCGCTGCTCGTCCGGGGCGGGCGCGGCGGGGGGGCGCCTGCGGGCGCCTCGCCCGGAGGAGGGCGACAAGCAGGTGACCTCCTCCTCCTCCTCCTCCTCCTCCTCCTCCTCCTCCTCCTCCTCCTCCTCCCCCTCCTCCTCCTCCTCCTCCTCCTCCTCCTCCTCCTCCTCCTCCCTGGGAAGGGGGCAGACCTCTGGGACCGAAGACACAAACAAAAACGGGACGTCGGCCGCCCGCGCCGGCCGGCGGCGGAGGCACGGCCCGGAGGGGGCATGGGCCCGTTGTTCTGCCGCATCCCCGGGGGGCGCCACGCAAAAGGTACTTCACGAGCGGCCAACGTGTCCATATCCGCACCCTTGCGGTCGGGGTTCTGGGGCACGAGCCCGCGGATGCGCATGCGCATGGCTGCGTTCCGCGCGGGGCACCCATGGAAGCACATACCCCGCACGCAGCTGCCCCGAGACGCAACACGCATCACGTAGCGTCTTGATACGGAGCTCAACAGGTAGATTGTACACGTGGGTCTGACGCGATACGTTCGCCCAAACGTGGGACAACACGCTCAGCCAACACGCAACGTATTGACACGGATGCTTTGAGCAGGGCACGTGTTGCGTATCAAAAGGGGCGTACTCGGGCAGCTGAGACCCCGCATCCACGGTGTCGCGCCCAGGGGCCTGGTCCGCGAGGCTGCGGATAGAGGATAGCGATCGGTTGATGCAGTAGGGGCCCTACCACAAGAAACCTTCCACAAGAAGCACAACCCCGAGCCCCCAGGACGTCCATTGATTTTCGTGTGGGGGGGGCGCCACACTTTGCATAGCAAAACCAAACCATCGAAACCGAAGAAACCCATGGCACCCTGGAGGCAGGCAGGGTGTTTCTTGGCATGGGCCCCCACTGTATGCGCGCGGGCATGAGTTCTCGACGTCGGCGCTGGTCGCGACGACGAAGGTCTTGGGCAAACGACTGGCACGTGCCCCTGAAGACGCCGAACGCAGCATCCCAATGTGATCCCAATCGGCCGAAGTGTCGGCCAGCGCACACGTGAGCGAGGATCAAAACCTGGTCTTGCGCGAGATGACGTGGCGACCCTTCTGCACGCCGCAGCTTACGCGGGGCTCCAGCGCGGCACGCTGCATTGGAGGCGAGGGTGCTTGCGCGCGACCATTGCGCGGGCAGCTTGCGCGCCAATGTCGGCGCGGGCGACCCCGCTCTTTGCGTCGCTCACGCGTCTTCCGGCCACGAGTGCTCTCCGACGGGCGCCGCCGCCCTCGTGGGCCTGACGCTCAGCGAAGGCTGCCGCGGAGTCCACCAGCACCTGGCCAGGCCTTCGATCTGGCGTGGCTCGGGTGCTGTTGACGCGTGGCACGCGCCTTGTTGGCCTTGGGGTGGTCGCTGACCACGACGGCAAGGACGACAACCACGACCTGGGCGACAACCACGACGAGACGAGAGCCACGACTAAGACCACGACGATGGCCACGGCGATGGCTACGGGCGACGACGACAACGCTGACGGCGACGACGACGAAGATGACGACGACGACGACCACGACCACGACCAACACCGCAACTATGACGACCGCGGCGACGGCCACGACGACGAAGACGACGACGGCGACGACGTCCACGACGGCAGCCACCCTGGCCGCGGCGGCCGCGGCGGCCGGCCGAGTGGGGCCTGGGCCGGCAGCAGCACGCCGGTGAGCAGCGCGTGGAGCACGACGCCAGCGCTCCAGAGGTCGGAGCTTGGCTCCGGGGTGCAGCCGGCACGCGCTGCGAGGGGGCCGCCGTCGTCGTCACCGTCGTCGCCTGTCGCCGCCTTCGTTGGTGTCGCCGTCGTCGTGGTCGTCGTCGTAGTCTTCGTCGTCACCGTCGTCGCCGCCGCCGCCGTCGGCGTCGTGGGCGGCGTCGTCCTTGTCGGTTGTGGGCGTCGCGCCTTTCGCCGCCATCGTCGCCGCCTGTTCTGGTTACTTCTGGTCGCGGTCGTGGAAAAGGATGTCGCCGTCGTCGCTTTCGTCGGCGTCGCTTTCGTCGTCGCCGTCGTCGAAGTCGTCGTGGTCGACGAAGTCATGGTGGTCGTCGTCGTCTTGCTCGTGAGCATCGTTCTATTCGCCGTCGTCAGCGTCGCCTTCGTGGGGGCAAGGGCCTGGGGGGGGGGTGACAGGGGCAGGGGAAGGAGCAGGAGCACGGGCAGGCGGGGGCGTAGGAACAAGGAGCACGGGGGGGGGGGTAGGAACAAGGATGGAGGAGGAAGGACGAGAAAAGGGAGGAGGACGAAGACGACGATCAGGAGGGGGGAGGAAGAGAAAGAAGAAGGAGAAGCAGCAGGCAAGGGAGGAGGAGGATGCGGAGCTGGAGGTGGAGCAGGAGGGAAAGGGTGACTAGGAGGACCCAGGAGGCAGGGCCAGGCCGGGGAGTATGAAAGAGGAGGAGGAGGAGGAGGAGGAGGAGGCGGAGGAGAAGGTTGAGGATGAGAACGGGAGGAGGAGGAAGAGGAGGAGGGCGAGGCGGAAGAGGATGAGGGGAGGAGGACGAGGGGCGAGTCCACAGCACTGAGGGCGTGCTGAACCAGTGAGTGAGCTCAGGCGCGCAGGGGAGGAGGGGGCACAGCACGCTCAGCCGCTGTCGGCGACGACCCTGCTGGAGCAGCACGCGGAGAAACGCCATCCAGGCCAGAGAGGGCGTGGATTGGAGGGCGCCTCCGGGAGCGGGATCGAGTCGAGGTTCGGGCGGCCTTATTCTTCTTCTTCTTCTTCTTCTTCCCAACCATCCTGCGGTGTCGGGTTCTCGTTCTGAACACGCAAACTCGCCCTCCTCCTCCTCCTCTCCTCTCCTCCCGCTTATGCCTTACACACGGTCTCATTGTAGTCCTGCTCCTTCTCCTCCTCCTTCTCATCATCATCATCATCATCATCATCATCATCATCATCAGCAGCAGCAGCAGCAGCAGCATCATTATCAGCATCACCAGCATCATGACTATCACCAGCATCTTCTTCATCATCATCAGCAACATCGTCATCAGCATCGTCATCGGCATCAGCATCAACATCAGCATCGGCATCGTCACAACATTCATCGTACTCATCAGCAACAGCAGCATCATACTCATCATCATCATCATCATCATCATCATCAGCAGCATCACCAGCAACAACACCGTCGTCACCATCATCATCAGCATCAGCATCAACATCATCATTCATCATCGCCATCATCACCAGTATCCTACAAACATCATACCGCATCAGCATCACCAGCATCAGCAGTTTCATTGTCATCACCAACATCAGAAGTATCAGTCTCTCCAACATCAGCACCTCAATCAACATCATCGCCATCATCATCATCATCATCATCATCATCATCATCATCATCATCATCATCATCAACAGTATCATTATCACCATCAGAGTCATCATCATCATCATCCTCATCATCATCATCATCATCGTCGTCATCATCAGCATCATCGGCCCCAGCATCCCCAGTATCACCATCGCCATCATCATCATCATCATCATCATCATCATCATCATCATCATCATCGCCAGCAGCATCATCATCGCCACGACAATCATCAGCATCGTCATCACCATCATCAGCATCATCTGTATCAACACCATCATTATCACCATCAGCATCATCATCGTCAGCAGTAGCATCATCCTCATTAGCTTCATCAGCGTCCTTCTCGTCACCGACCCCACGATGGCCAACATCATCAGTCATGATCATCATGATCATCTTCATCATCACCATCATCATCATCCTCATCATCATCATCATCATCATCATCGTCACCATCATCATACTCATCATCATCATCATCATCATCATCGGCATCATCATCACCATAACCATCGCCATCACCACCATCACCAACATTATCATCAGCAACAATCGCGACATCATCATCAACGTCGTCAACATCATCATCGTCATCATCGTCGTCATCATCATCCGCATAATCATCGTCATCGATGTTATCGTCATCGTTTTGTTCATGATCGTTATCGTTAGCATCATCATCATCATTATCAATATCAACACCGTCATCATCGTCAGCAGTCCCGTCATCATCGTCATCATCATCACCACCACAGTCATCGTCGTCATCGTTATCGTCATCGTCATCGTCATCACCATCATAAGCATCATCCTCGGAATCATCCTCCTCCTCCTCGTCGTCATCACTACTGCTGCCACCAACGCAATCTCGGCACACCCCTCACAAGCTTCGCGGCCCGAGAGGAGCTCCACCAAAGGTCCTAGTGCTCGCACGTTTCGTGGCCCCAGATGGAGCTCCATCTTAGGTCCCAGCGCCAGGGCCCTCATCACACCATTTCGGCACACCCCTCAGACGTTTCGTGGACCCAGAGGGAGCTCCACCGAAGGCCCCAGTGCCAGGGCCCGCCGCATGCCCATTCCACAATGCCGGCGCACCCCTCACACGTTTCGTGGCCGCAGAGGGAGGCTCAACCTGAGGCCCCAGCGCCAGGGCACGCATGCCTTCTCCAAACCTTTCCGGCGCACCCCTTGCACGTTTCGCGGCCCAAGTGGGAGCCCCACCGAAGGCCCCAATGCCGGCACCAACATGCCTTCTCAACACCATGTCGGCGCACCGCTCACACGTTTCGTGGCCCCAGTGAAGGCTCCGACGAAGGCTCCCGTGCCAACGCCCACATGCCTTCTCCACACCTTTTCGGCGCCCCGATTGTGAGCTCCATCTCAGGCCCCAGTACGGGGGCCCACATGCCTTTTCCACGCCATTTCGGCGTACCCCTGACACGTTTCGTGGGCCCCGAGGGAGCTCCACCGAAGGCCCTAGCGCCAGGGCGCGCATGCCTTCCCCACACCATCTCGGCGCACCCCTCACAAGTTTCGCGGCCCGAGAGGGAGCTCCACCTAAGACCTCAGCACCAGAGTCCGCACCCCTCACGCGTTTCGTGGACCCAGAGGGGCCATGTCTGCGCACCGCTCACACGCTTCGTGGCCCCAGAGGGGTCCCCTCCGAAGACAGTGCTCACAACTACGGGACTGACAACTGCATGTGAATGGGTCCTTCGCCAGGTTCATTTTTGAGGGGGCCTCAGGAAGCCTCCAGGAAACCCTTGGAGGATAGGGGAAGAGAGGAGGAGGGAGGCGTTCAGTCGGGTCGCCGACCTTGGCAGGAGGAGGAGGTGGTGGGCAACGAGGTGAGGTGAGGGGGGGGCGAAGCAGAGGAGGATGAGGAGGAGGATCACTAAGGGACAATGCATGGACAATGGGGAGGCCGACGACGACGACCAAGACGCGGCTGGCGGTCTCGAAAGCGTCACGCCGACGATGTCGGCGTCTGCGTCGTCGGCTTGACGTTGAAGCTTGAACGATCTCGGCTTCTCGATCGCGCTTATCGTTCGATGACAGTGAAGGGGCCCTGAGACACACAAATAAATACACACAAATAAAAGGATGTCCCATATTTTCCCATATTTTCTGGGTTTTGTCTTCCCCCCACTTCCCATATTCTCCCCTATTTTCTGGGGAATCGACGATGAATTGTGTCTGTGTGTTTCTTTCCCTCCTGAGACAGAGGACCCGGGGCCACCGGCGACGCTCGACCTTGAACGCCGGCGCTGAGGTCGCAGCCGCGTCGGCAGGACACGGACCTAATTACCGCACGGTCAGAATCTCTGAGCGGCTCCGGCCGTGGCCACGAGGACGGCCACGGAGGGCGCCGCCTGGGGCCCGACAGGAGCCCCTGAGAGCATGGCACAGCGATCCCTGCGCTTCGAGCCTCAGTCTGGAGCCCTCGGGGCTCGACCATCGAGCCACGATCTTGGATCGGCGAACCTACCACAGACATCCGACGATCCGATATTTCAACGCTCGGCCCCAGAGGTTCCGACGCCTTTCCCTGGGCCAGGGTTTTGCCCCGGATCCATGTTTGATGGCCGATGGGCCCAATGATGGTCCCCAGTGGCTGAAATCATGGAAAATCGCCGGGATTGCACATAATCAAATCTCCGAAGATCTGGGAACGTACGAACCTCACTGCGACGTCCACTTCGACGTCGACGACTACGGCGCCGACCTGAGGGGGAACGTTGAAGGGGCCCTGGGACACACAAATAAATACACACAAATACAAAAATATTCCCCATATTTTCCTGTATGTTCTGGGTTTTTCTCTTGCCCCCCAATTCCCATATTTTCCAATATTTTCTTTGGAATCGACGATTAATTGTGTCTGTGTTTTTCCCCTCCTGAAGCGTTAGGGGTGGAGCCCCTCCAGGAAGGAAGAGACATCGACCTGGCATCGGCCATGCATTGTTGACTGATCGGCGACAGGCCCTCGATAATGGATCCGCCACCTCCTGCCGGCGGTGGACAAACCTCCCTTCAGTTGGACGCCCGAAATGGGTATGGAAATAATTGGTACAATGCCCAACAACAAATCTTGTCCCAAACCAACAGCGGCCGCTGTTGGGCAGGCGGCCTTCTGTCTCGAACGGACACGGGCCGCGGCGGCGTGGACAGCGAGCCCTGCTCAAAATGAACAGGAACTGCTGGTGGGCATTGTGCCCAGTCTTTCCGTACCCACTTCGGGCGTCCAGACTTCAGCAAACCACCCTGGCGTGAAAACGGCCCGGGGACCGAAACCGACGGGCCGGGACCCGCAAACGCGACGGCCGCGACGCCCCCTCGCGAAGCCGACGACGGCCAAGTCGCCCCTCGACGCGTCAGGGCGGGAGGCCTGTCAACCTCCACCTCCTCGGCGGGAGGGGCTTCGAGGCCCCCCATCTCGGGAGCGGCCAAGAGGGGGGTGTCCAAGAGGGGGGGGTGCAAATCATGACCGGCGGCACGTGCGCGGCCCAGCGGGGGGGCCAGGGACGCAATGAAACAAGAAGATGCGCCATGAGATCTGGGGAGATATCATGGCCCTCGCCATGATATCCACCCCCCGCTAGTCATCACCCCCCTCTTTGCCGCCCCCGACAGGGCGGGAGGCCTATCAACATCCACCTCCTCGGCGGGAGGGGCTTCGAGGCCCCCCGTCGGCGGTGACTGGGCACTCCCGGGCCGACGCGCTCTCCTCCTGCGCCCCCCCACCCCCCCCAACGTTGCCCCCTGGGGTTAAGTCAGGCCTGTCCCCCATACAGGGGGAATTGCGACGAAACATAAAAAATGCTCAAAAGAGATTCCAACATGGCCAAACAAAATACAGCAAAAATAGTCCCCAGACTATTTTTGGACTATTTTGGAATTTTCCTCCTGTAGAGGGACAGGCCCGACTTAACCCTTGGGGTGGAGGGGCCCTCTGGTTCTCTGGCCATGACTTGGGCCTTCGGCGGCCGCGCGTGACGACTCCGACAACCACCAGAATGCTCTCGACGGGGCGCAGCTGCTGGGAACCACCCTGCTGGGCATCGAAGCCTTCCGAGCACTTTGTGGAACTTGCGATGCTCGTCTGCCCCGATCTTCCCCCGGTGCCTGCCCCCCCTCCACGGCCGGGAATTTCTCCTCAGCGTGCGGCCCCAGCGACACGCAAAGCCATGCGAGCGGATAGCATGCCGCTCCGCCTCGCAGGGCGGGAAGGTAGGCAAAACTTTGGACGTTGACGCCTGCGGATGCAAATGCGGATGCAGGGTTGCTGGGGTCACTCGAGTCCGGGCCCCTGGAGGGCGGACGGACTCGCTGAACGACGCTTGTGAAACAGGCAGGCGCGAGCAGAAACGAGACGACACGGCCTGCTTATCTACCTCTTCGGGCCGGGCCCCCGACGACGAATCGCCCCAACGTGAGCGAAGCGGTACCATCAACGTTGAACAAATGTGTTGGACAGTTGCCGAACTGCGCAAAAAGATGACGACCACGAAGTTGACGCCTGGGGACCGGTAAATGCACAGCGTGTCGCGCCGAAGCGTGGTGGGCCATAATCGGCGGCGCGACACGCTAAGCCAAAGTTCCTGACCGTAACGTTGCTCCTGCAGAGGCTTCATTGATGGGGTCCGAGTATATGAGGTTGGAGGATCGCGCCGCCTCGCCGATGCATCGGCGATGCAGCGGTGATGCATCGTCGGCGTCGGCGATGCATCGGCGACGTCGGCGCGAAGAAAACAGGACTCCACATCGAGCTGCATCGGCGATGCATCGGCGATGCGGCGCAACCCTCCGACCCCATCGGCTCGGAGCCAATTTGAGAGGCCTGGTCTGGACCCTGACGGCCAAGCTTCGTGGGCGACTCATATACCCGTATCCGCAGCCTCGCGGGCTGGGCCCCTGAGCCGCGCCCCTGCGGATACGGGGCGCTTCTTCCTGGATGCCCCGCGCGGGACGTAAACCGTGCGACTGCACTGGGGAAACCACAAGGTACCAATACCGCTACTCCCAGGGTGCGTTCTGACTGGCATTTCGAGGCGAATCCCGCGGTGGTGACGAGGGCCTCCCAGGAGGCTCACAAAAGGGGGACACGAGGGAACGGCAGCGAGAGGGGTACCGCTTCCTCCTCTGACGCGCCTCCGCGGCACCGCGCCCCGGTATCCCGACCGCGAGGGCCGCTCGTGAGAGGCTCGCGCGCCCGCCCGCGGCCGGGAGGCCCGCGCCTTCGGGCGCCAGGTAGGGGCCCGTCCCTGGCAGCGGCTCCGCAGGCCGCCCTCCTCGCGCCCGGCCCCTGGACGCCAGCCTGCCGCTGGGAGGGCCGCCGCCGCCGCTGCCGCCGCTGCCGCCGCAGTCGCCGTCGCCGTCGCCGCCGACGCCGCCGTTGCCGCCGCCGTTGCCGCCGCCATCGCCACCGACGTCGCCGCCGCCGCCGCCACCCCAGCCGCCAGTGGCACTGGCGGCTGGGGCCCAGTGCCGCCGACGTCACACAGGCCCAGTGCCGCCGACGTCACGCAGGCGCCGCCCCCGTCGCCACTGCCGTCGCCGCCGCCTGTGCCGCCGTAGGCGCCGCTGCCGGCGACGTCGTCGTTGATGCTGCCAGCGTCTGGGTCAGAGGCGGAAGGGGGAGAAAGGAGTGGGCGAATGAGGAGGAGGAGGAGGAGGAGGAGGAGGAGGAGGAGGAGCGACAAGAGCAGGGTGAGGATGATGATGAGAAGGAGGCGGAGGAGGAGGAGGAGGAGGATTTTTTCCAGTGCACCGCTAACACCCAGGCTCCAAGGGCAGAGACTGCCAGGGATTGGCCGCTAGGAAAATTGGGGGTTTGAACCAGAATGGCCCGAACAGGAAGCGAGGCCGAACCCGTTCCACACGCGGTCGAAATCGAAAGTGACCAGACCTGTGAAGCCGAAGGAGCCTGTGAAGGACTTGTCAAGCTGCATTCGCGAAGTAGCCCATCTTGCGGAGCCGCGCGAGCCTCTCCTCGCCGATGGTGGCGAGAGCTGACTCCTCTATCTGCGTCCTGGTGACCTCGGGCTCGGACTTGTCATCGACGCCATCGAAAGGCACGGAAGTAGCGTGCGTGACGTCGTACATGTCGGACTTGTCATCGGCGCCATCGAAAGGCACGGAAGTAGCGTGCGCGACGTCGGTGGGCGGCTCGACGTGGCCACCATTGTCGTAGATGTCGTCCAAGCTGGGGTCGAAGCGCCCCTCCTGAAGCTCGAAGTGAGCCCGTCCTTGACCACGAAGGGGGTCACGGTCATCAAGCGGCGGCGGCACCATGACCGCGAGGGGGGTCATGGTCATCAAGCCGTTGTCCTCGCCGCACTGCCCCTCGCTCGAGATATCACACTCCTCCACACGGCCCGTCGAGGTCCTGGTAGAACGGCTTCCCTGGGATGAAGGTCTCGGCGTCGGCGCTGAAGCCAGCAAACTCCGCCTTGACGATGGTAGGGCGAATGGGCGTGTCCTCAGGAACCGAGGCGCCATCTGCGAAGTTGTAGAAAACTGCCTTGTCAACGGCAAGGTCTACATCCCCTCCAGTGGCAGCGGTGGCAAGTTGATCTGGCACGAACCGATGCTGACCATGGGCGCCTGCGGAGCTGCAGGGGTCGTCGTCATCGTACCCGATCCGCACGTCGTAGTCGAGCGGCCGCCACTGGACATCGGCGGCGGCGACGGGCACGGGATGTTCTTCTCCTCGACGATCTTCTCGCACATGATGGCCATGAGCATCTTGTACTTGCGGCGCCGCTTGAAGTTCTTGATAGCGGAGCGGCTCGCAAGCTTCACAATATTGGTGTTGTACGTGTTTACTTCCGACTCCTTGGCCTCGTACTTCGTCTCCTGCTGCTGGCTGGGCTTGCGGAACCACCTCTTGAGCATCTTGATCGGCAGGATGCGAGGTTGAGGCGGAGCTGGCGGCTTAAGGAGGAGGAGGAGGAGGAGGAGGAGGAGGAGGAGGAGGAGGATGAGGCGGAGGAGGAGGAGGAGGAGGAGGAGGAGGAGAAGGAGTGAGGAGGAGGAGGACGAGGAGGAGGAGGATGAGGAGGAGGAGGAGGAGGGAGGAGGAAGGGCGGAGGAAGAGGAGGAGGAGGAGGAGGAGGAGGAGGAGGAGGAGGAGAAGTGCGAGGACATGTTCTCCCCCTCCCCGGACGGCGCGAGCCCGAAGTCGATGAGCTTGACCGTGGGCCGCCCGCCCGGCACCAGCGGGCCTCGGGGCCCGCCGCCCTCCGCCGCCCCGCGCGCGGGAACGCCCCCGCCCCGCTTCTCCTCCGGGAGGGGGGGTTGCGGGGGAGGGAGGGAGGGAGGGAAGGGGGGGAGGAAGGGCACGGCACGCTCATCAGGGGCACGAGTCAAGGCTTCCGACGGGCTGGAACGGCAAAACTTGCTGCAGCTCCTCGAATGCAGGCCTGAGAGGGCGGAGGGGGGAGGAGGAGGAGGAGGAGGAGGAGGAGGAGGAGGAGGAGGAGGAGGAGGAGGAGGAGGAAGGGGGAGAGGAGGAGGAGGAGGAGGGGAGGAAGGAGGAGGAGGAGGAAGGAGAAGAAGGAGGAGGAAGAGGAGGAGGAGGAGGAGGCAGGATGATGATGATGATGATGATGATGATGATGATGATGATGATGATGATGATGATGATAATGAGGAGGAGGAGGAGGAGGAGGAGGATGAGGAGGGGGAGGAGCGGAAAGGAGGCGGAGGCGGAGGCGGAGGCGGAGGAGGAGGAGGAGGCGGAGGAGAAGGAGGAGGAGGAGGAGGAGGAGGAGGAGTGAGGAGGAGAGGGGAGGAATGAGGAAGAGGAGGTCAAGCGTGCCCTAGGAAGAGGAGGAAGAGGAGGAGGAGGAGGAGGAGGAGGAGGAGGTGGAGGGGGAGGATGGGAGGAGGAGGCAGAGTCGGAGTCGGAGTCGGAGGAGGAGGTGGAGGAGAAGGAGGAGGAAGAGCAGGAGGAGACGAGACGCATGCGCCCAAGCGATTGGGGCATGTCCGCCCCTTCGCTTGCGGCGACGCCCAAACGCAGGGCCATGCTAGCATACTTCTAACACTGCCATCGCCAGCTTTCAACAGGCGCTGAACGGTATCAACTAAACGTTTTCGCCGTCGTGGACGCCTGTCCCAGGGCGGCTGAAAGTTTATACCCCTGTGGTGGTACGACGGGGTATAAAGTTTCCAGCCGCTCTGGGACAGGTGCCCCTTGCGACGGACAAAAGCATGTTAAATCGTTCTTCGACCGCTACAGCATTAACGACGAGCAGATCAATTTCCAGAGCAATGCCATGGGGGGCTGCCCGAGTGCGAGGCGGCCCACCGCATCATCGGCACAGCCTACTGTGCCTCCGACCCACGACAGCATCAAGAAGGGCTCTCCGCACCATGGAGGTCCCAGCGTTCGGCCCAACAGTAGCCCGACGCATGGCCCGACGCAGGAGGAGTAGCGCTTGCGAGGTCGCTCTGCAGAACGACGCCCATGCCAAGAAGCCCCAGCACTGAGACCAACCCAATACACAGATACCGAGTACATCGTAGTCCAGATCCCCATCCCCGCCACAAGCAACCTCAACCTGGACATCGTCGCCCCCGTGCCGGAGGGCGCGACGAAGAGCAACACGCACCATGAGAAATGCGCGTGTGCGGCAACACCGTCTTCTTCGACACCACGAACGTCGACTTCTCCAACGGCCCGCCCTACAGCGTGCTGCCGCCGCTGAGGCCCGGGAGGCACTGCACCCCCGACTGCGCCTGCGATCAAACCCCTCCCCCCGCCCTGCGGGCTGGTTGTTTTTTCCGTGTGGCGTGCTACACGGTAATAACCATAACCACGGGCCCCCGGCGGGGCCTGGGCCTTGCAAAGGGTTCGGCTCGGGTGGCCTCTGGCCCCATGCTGGACACCCAGGGCTCCGAGTCCGAGGACCACGAGGAGGGTGCCGAGTGCGAGGAGGGCCTTGACGAGGCGGCTAAGGAGTACGAGGATCATGCGGAGGGCGCGGAGTGCGAAAAGTGCGAGGAGATCCCGGACCCAGGGCCTTGGCCAACCAACTTCGTACCGCACGCCGGGGGCGCTCGCCTGATGCGGGCAGTTGAGCGCACCGCGTAGACCCACGCAATCTGGTCTCATTCCGCGGCGAGCTACAGCCGCACCCACGCCGAGGGCTTGGATTGGCTCCATGATCAGCGAGTTCGATGCCGACAGTGCCCTCGACACTGACGACATCTTCGATACAGAGTCCGAGGAGGACGGTGAAGACTCCCAGGGGCCAACGAGCCACGCAGACGAGTCGGACAACAACGCGTCCCCGTGGCTCGCCACATGGATGCGCAGCTGGCGCGTCCAGGACTACTGAATGAAAATGTCGCTCTGACAACCTCTCGTTCGCTGCCTTTTCTCTCGCCCGAGCCCTCGCCACCGACCGCTGCCAGCGCTGATTTGCACTCTTGGCTCAGAGGAAGAGGTAGTGAACCAGAAAAGAACAAACAACAAACAAACGACTTGGACTCCCGACAGTGTTCTCTTCCCTGTGCTTGCGCTGCTGGTGGGTTCCGCGGGAGGTTACTGGGGTGAGCATCCAAATCCCAAAACAGGGCGACCGCGCAGCCTGGCGCCGCCCCAACTGTCACACAGCCTCTTTCCCCCTCTCTCTCTATATATATATATATAAAAATGTATACATACTACCCATACGAGCCCCTCCCCCTGTGTACATATACACTGGCGTCATTATCATTAACATCACCACCACCATCACAGTCACCATCACCATCACCACCACCATCATCATCATCATCATCAACATAAGCAACGGCAACACCACCATCATCACCACCACCAGCACCACCATGATCATCATCATGATCTATATATATGTAAAAATATATCCTCGTCGTATCCCCCCCCCCCCCCAGAGGCCTTGAACGCCGAGGCCAGGCCTGAGGAGCCCAAACGTGACGACAGTTACAAGTAAGCTGAGGGGGCCCCATGGAGCGGGGGATCCCGCCTGAGACTTCCTCGCAATCCACTCACAGACGAGGCTCCCGCTTGATACTTCCTCCAGACTCAGGCCTGAGGAGCCCCAAAGTGACGAAGGCTACACGTTTTGGATGACCCGCTCCGATTAACGTGAGCGGCGAACCCCATAGTGAGGGTGTTCCCGCCTGGGAATTCGGCACAAACCACGCACGCAATGACGAGGCTCCCGCCTTATACTTCCTCCACTCTCAGGCCTCAGGAGCCCAAACGTGACGGGAGTCACAAGTTTGTGGACGCTTGGATTAATAACATGGGCTGCGGGCCGCATGGGGACAGGCTTCCGCCTAACATTTCCTCACAATTCACTCACAAACGTGGCTCATGCTCGAGACTTCCTCAAGATGGGTGCGTGTGTGTGTGTGAGGGAAAGAGAGAGAGAGAGAGAGAGACGCAATGGAGAATTTGTTGCAATTCACGTTTCCTTTTGCCTCTCTCTCGATCCCGGGTGTCCTTGGCCGCCGCAGTCGCGGCCAACGGGGGCTGCGCGCCCTGCGCCAAGCCTCTGGCTGTGGCGCGGGACACACGGAAATGGGAGCGTAAGGTCGGCCACTCGACCGCGCCAATCACATGGCTCACACCAGCCCCCTGGCACACTGTACATCGATGGCTGTGCAGCAGACGTGCAAGGAGTGATGGAAAGGAGGCTGTGTGTGGCTGTGCAGCAGACGTGCAGGAGTGCACCCGAGCCTAAACCGCTACGGGTGCATTCCCTGCTCCCTGTCTTTACTACGGTGCATTCCCTGCTTCCTGCATTCACTGTGGATCTCTGCGCTGGCATGGAACGTGAACCGCCGGGGACCTAGCTGCGCTGCGTTCCCCTCACTCTTGCTGCTGATGCTGGTGATGAAGATGGTGATAATGATTGTGGTGGCGATGGTGACAAAAGAAGGTCGATGATCATGATGGTATGGTGATAGCGGTGATGATGACAATCATGGTGTGATAGTGATGGTGATGTTGATCGTGATGGTGACGGTGACGGTGATGATGATGACGATGCTGTTGGTGATGATGATGATGATGATGATGATTCGAGAATGATAGTGATGAGTGGCTGGCCCAGTGAGATATGAGTGAATAGACGAGTACAGACGGCGATGCTTATGCTTATGCTTATGCTTATGCGGATGATGATGATGATGATGATGATAATGATGATGATGATGTTGACGTTATTGATGATGAGGACCAAGATCACGATCATGATGGCATGGTGACAGTGATGATGATGACGACGATGGTGGTGTGATGATGATAGTGAAGATGATGGGAATGGAAATCGTGATGAGTCTGATATGTGATGATGAAGGGAGGGGGTGGGTGGGAGGACTGCGCGGGGCGTCCAGAGAAAACAATAACCCCACTTAGGATATGGAGAAAAACCAAAGGAAAGGCATAGGGGCCGCGCTGTTCAAACAGAACGCGCTCCTCCAACCTCTGCCTCGCCCGCTCACGCTCCCGACCGTACCTCCTGCACCGCCGCTCGCCGTTCACTCCTGCCTCCCCTAGAGGAACGCAAAGAACCGCATAAACAAAACTTTCAACGCTCTACGCAGATTTTCGGGATCTGCGCTGGATCTCCCTCCCTGGCGCGCGGAGCGCGCCAGGGGCGGCGCCGGAGGCGCCGCCAGGGGGGCCCAGCGCAGATCCAAGAAATCCGCGCGGAGCGCCAAGAGTTTCTGTTTATGTAGTTGTTCTTTCTTTCTTCGATGTTCGCCCACTCTGGCCCCGTTTCTGAATTCGATTTATATTGTTCCCATCGTACTCAAGGGGCACATCCCCAAAAATGATTCCGAGCACCCAGAAAAGTACAGGAAACCCTTCATTCTTGGTACTTCCCTTGTGCTCGAAATTCTCTCTTGTGAACAAGGCTAAAGAAGGTCGGAGCATCATAAACATAGTTACTCATTCTGGGGACCTTCCTGGAGCCACTCGCTCCAGTCGTGCGTCGAAGCTGCGCCGAACGCCCGTCGACCCGAGTCGAGTCTGAGTCGAACCTGAGTCGAACCTGAGACGAATTGGGGACGAACTGGAGACGAACGAGAGTCGAACTGGATCCGAGCAAATCCATCCAGGTGGCCCCCAGGAAGGTCCCCCAAAACGAGCACCAACCTGACCGTCCTCGCCCCTTCCCTTCGGCCACCTCCGACCGGAGGACGAGAGCGGCGCGCTTCCCGCGCGACCTTGCCTGCAGGGGGCCGCGAGAAGGCGGCGCACACGCCCCAGCGCGCGCATCGGCGACGCGCCGGCTGGGGCCCGGGCCCTCCAGCATGATGTTCTCTGGCTTAATATCCTGGCACGGAGCTCACTGCTCGTGCCTCCCCGTGCTCACGAGCCTTCTCGCGAGCCTCGCGGCCGTCGGCCCTGGGGACGACGACCGCGAGACCCCCCCTGCCTGTGAGCTTGCATGTCTTGTTGACCTGCTTTGTCTGTTTGATGTTCTGCGTCCTGGGACGACGATCGCGAGACTCCCCTTGCCTGTAAGAGCTTGCATGTCTTGTTGCCCTTGTTGTGTTTGTTTGATGTTTTGCTGCCTCTATTGGAGAGCAGAAAATCCACCTCCATAAGAAGCACCCCAACAAGCGAAGCCGTTTAGTAAACGCACCCATGGAAGGAATCGAACAGGGCAAGGCTGTTTAATAAACGCCCAGGTCTGTTTAGTAAACGCCAATTGTCTGGTCCGGGTGTTTGTTCCCCCCTTGATATATTTCTCTCTCTCTCTCTGTCTTTCTTGTTTCTTTCTCTCTCTCTATTGCTCTACCTCTCTCTATCTCCCTCGCGCGTACCCGCCCCTCTCGCCCTCCCTCCATCCCGCCATCCCTCTCTCTCTCTACTCCTGCCGCTCGTTCTGCTCGCGCTCGCCCTCTTCGCCGCTCCTCCTGGTCTGGGGATGCGCGTGCGTGCGTGCCGGCAGCGCCGGTGTGGCAGCCCTGTCTGCTGCGCGCTCCGCATCACCACACGGGCCTCGAGGGCGTCACCTCGGCGCTGTAGGTGATGTGTGTGTGTGTGTGTGTGCGATCTACTTTGAGCGTAATCCGCCCGTGCAGTTCGCGTACCGTTGTCTTCCCCCCATGGGCGCACTGAATGGAAAGCGTGTGTGTGTGCTGTGTGTGTCTATGCCTGTGGTGTGTGCGTGCGTGTTCTCACACGTAGTTTCGTCATGCACGCGCTTGCTGTTGGCTGCTCAAATGTCGGGTATGTCCGTGCCTCACTGGGGCTGCAACCATGCGCGGCCACACAAAACCACAAGGTGGTCAGCCCACTTCGAGCGCGACCCGTCTGAGTGCATGTTGATTCCCTTATTGCAAACAGTCGGCGCGCAGGAAGAACAGGTGTGTGCACTTGCGTGTATGCACCATTCGCCCGCTGACCCGCTGGCACCCATCGGCACACGTTCGGCGGTAATCAACTTAGCGCATCCCGCTGTTGCCCTCGCTGTATGGGACCAATTGGCCGCGAAGCTAAAGTGTACGTGTGTTGTGTGCTTATGTGTATGTGTCTATGTGTGCGTGTGTGTGTGTAGGTGTGTAGGTGTGTGTGCGTGTGTGGGTGTGTGTGTGTGCGCGTGCGGGCGGGCGGGCGTGCGTGCGTGCGGGCGTGCGTGCGTGCGTGCGGGCGGGCGTGCGTGTGTCTGTGTCTGTGTGTGCGCGCGCGTGCGCGTGCGCGTGCGCGTGCGCGTGCGCGCGTGTGCGTGTGCGTGTGCGTGTGCGTGTACGTGTGCGTGTGCGTGTGCGTGTGCGTGTGCGTGTGCGTGTGCGTGTGTGTGTGTGTGTGTGTAAGAATGTGTGTGTGTGTGTGTGTGTGTGTGTGTGTGTGCGGGGGGACTCTGCGTGCCTAGAATATCGGAAAACATCGGCCCGCGCTGGGCGACTGCCGGCGTGCCCACGGAGGTGGCGCCAGGAGCGCGGCCTCCTAAAGAGGCGGGTGGCTTCAGAGGACGACTTAGCACCCCCGCTCTCTTCAAGGAAGCCCGCCAGGAAGCCTCCGGGCCCCTCTGCGCTAAGGCCCCTGCCCTCCATGAAGGCCGAAGGCCCTCGCCTTCTTACAAGGCGGCCCTCCTCGCGCCACCTGGCGGGGAACGATCGGGTGTGACCGGCTCAGGGAGGGAGGGACATCCAGCTTGAATCTGCGGTGCATCTGAATAAACCAAAAACGGCACAAACGTGAGCTTTCAACGCTCCGCGAGGATTTCTTGGAGCTGCGCGTGGGCACCCTGGCGGCGCCTCCGGCGCCACCCCTGGCGCGCTCCGCCCGTCAGGGGTGGGGGGCCCCGCTCAAATCCGAGAACCCCGCGCGGACCGTCGAAAGTCTCTGTGCTTATCATGATGCAGTGTTTTCGTCCTCTAGCACCGCCGATAGATTGGCAATAGGCCCCCGATCGAGAATCCGCGCGCCCCTGGGCGGGATGAGCTATGCAGTACCCATCGGAATTCCATGGGCGATCGGGGGGTCGATGCTTCCCCCCCTGAGCCTCTCCCCCTCCCTAAGTTAACCTCAGGCCTCGAACACTTCGGAAAACGTTGCCCCCAAGCGCGTCGCCAAGCGGTGCAGGTGCTCAGGAGCGGCCAAGAGGGGGGGTGTCCAAGAGGGGGCGGTGCAAATCATGACCGGCGGCATGTGTGCGGCCTAGCGGGAGGGCCAGGGACGTAATGAAATAAGACGAGGCGCCATAAAATCTGGGGAAATACCATGGCCCCCGCCATGATATCCACGCCCCCCTGGTCATCACCCCCCTCTTTGCCGCCTCCGAGGTGCAGCGCAGCGAGCTCCCCTCCGCTCACCGGCCGGTGCCGTGCCCTGGCCGCGAGGGTCGGAGCGGGGCACCGCTGGGCCCCAGCGCGCAGAAGGAGGAGAGGCGGCTGGCCTCGGCCGCCGCTGCGCCGGCCGGCCCCTTGTGTTAAGACGAAAGCAGGGCGAGGGCACGCCCAGACGGATATGTCGCCGCGCCGTTTCTTCTCGACTCGCCCAATCTGACAACCCAGACCTCCAGCGTATTGAAAAACTCAGGACGGCAGTTTTTCTCGATGTTCGGCCTCTGGCGGCCTCGTCAGGCCCTGGGACCGTCAAAAAACGACCCAGGATGAAAAACAGGTCCTGGGGAATGGATCAAAACTTCCGGGGACCCCGTATTGAAAAAATCATGACATCGGATCTCTGGGAACGCCGACAGCACGGCACGCCCACTGCAAACCCTGCATCACGCGCCCCAGGAAGACGGAGCCGGCACCGCGGCAAACCCCAAGGCAAACCCACCGCGTCCGAGGCGGAGTTTGCCCTGGTGGCCGAGGCACCCTCTCCAGGACGCGCGGCCGCGCGTCGGAACAGACGGCGCGGCGACACATCAACCCGGCAGGCACGTACGACTCGAGCTTATAGTTTTCAAGCGCATGCGTTGGAAAGGGAAGGGAAGGACAGGGAGCTCGCGAAACACCGAATCTCTTCACACTATGGCTGTCCATACGGGGACCGTAAAACATGACGGAACTGAATCTGAAATTTAGAGCTCGCTCACGCTACAAACGCAACGCGAAAACAGACCGTCAACATCCACGCATAGACCATCAAAAAGCGGGCGCAGCGGCTGGTTCAGAGTGCTCCAGGACGCTCTTAGAGCGTTGAGAAGCGCTCTTGAGAACGCTCTGGAGCGATTTGTCTTCATCCGACGGTCGATATTTGTTGCTCAGCATGCCGCGGAGGAGGCCCCGGCGACACGCGGCCCTTCAAGCGGATAGCCTGTCGCTCCGCTCTGCAAGCCCCAGAACTCCCCAGCAGACCCATGAGAGGAAGGACTGCCAAAACGCCAGGAATCTCTTGGCTGACCTGGAGCAGACGAGTTACGACGTGACTCTCTGGGCGGAGCAGCAGGGGGTCCCTGTCGACTGGGAGGAGGCTCAGAGGGATGCCGAAGACCCACACCACGCGAGGGACGAGGGCCAAGGCAAGAACCGCGCCTTTGGCAAGGGCCACGCCGACGCTAGCTTCCACACCCGGGACGAGTCCTCCGCCTGGGACCGCAACATGCGCGGCCGGTGCAACGGCTCTCCCTAGGATGCCGTCGTGTTTTCGCCAGCCCCGTTGGCCCGGTGTTCCAGCCAATGCTGGCTGTGGGGGGACGAAGAGGTACCGATGCCGCTGCTCCCCGGACCTCTCCCGGCTGCCTCCCGCCGTGGCGGCGGGCAGCAGCCCGTCGCGATTTTGTCATAGCTCGAGGGGAGAGCATGCTACGCATGGAATGAAATGAGTAGAAGATGAGGTGTGGGATCCGTGAGTGGATCAGCCTAGACAGTATGAGGATCAGAAGCTATGACAGTATGGGGCCCCCGCCTCCTCCCCCCCATCGGGCGTCCCTGTGCACCACGCCGCGGGAGTGGCAGTGCGCAAGCGCCTGCAGCACCTCGGCGCGCAGATCCTCCTCCTCGTCGTCCTGCTGCCCCCCTTCAGCTCTTTTTCTCCTCCTGCTCCTCGTCTTCCTCCTGCTCCTCATCCTCGTCCTCGTCATCGTCCTCCTTCTCCCTCCCTCCTCCTACCTTCTCCTCCCTCCTCCTCAGTCTCGTCCCTCTTCTCCTCCCTCTCCTCCTCCTCCTCCTCCTCCTCCTCCTCCTCGTCCCTCTCCTGCCCCTCTTTCCTCCTCACTTTCGTCCTCCTCCCCCTCCTCGTCCTCCTCCTCCTTCCTCATCCTTTTCCTTATCCCTTTCCTTTTCCAACTCCGCCTCCTCCTCCTCCTCTGCCTCATCCTCGTCCTCCTCCATCTCCTCCTCCTCCCTCGCTCCTCCCCCCTCTCCTCCTCCTATTCCTCCTCCTCATCCTCCCCCTCCGCCTCCTTCTCCGCCTCCTCCTCCTATTCTCTGCCTCCTCCTCAACGTCTTTGCTGGCGTCATCGTGTTCCCCAGCTTCGTCTGAAAATGTACATCTTGCCCGCCCTTTGAGACCGTCGCCCGTGTTTGCCTCATCGGCCTGCCAACTCCCTTATCGATCCGCCTTCGACCCCGCGCTCCGAGAAACCATGAGCTTCCAAAGAGAGGTAGGATCCACATGAGACGACGGAAAACACTATTGGGCGTTACTTGAGCCAGAGCTCCCAAAACCTCGTGTTGAAATACAGTAGAGTGCGCATGTCTGGCTGGCGGGCTCATGTATCAATTGCATGTTGTAGTTTAGTCTGTACCCTATCGACCAGCATCTGTCTTTCTGACTCTCTGATTGAGGGTCTGTGCGTATGTCTTTATATTGGTTTTGTCTCTGGCTGTGTTAGTTTCTATCTCCCTCTCCCTCTCTCTCTCACACAAATACCTTTGCTGTCATTGCGACCATACTGCAGGCCTGAGCGGCACACGTGAAAACACCACAGCGGTCAGTGACAACAACAACCGCGCATCGCCGACAGAGCTGCGAGCTGGCAAATCAAACCCTCGTGCCTTCACGAGGAGAGCCGTCGAACAAGCCTCATCTGGTCATTATCCTGCTCCAATCTCTGCATGTTTCTCCTTCTTTCCCCCTCCTGGGCCTCCACATCACCCTTCTCCCGCTGTTCGAGTCACCTCCTCTGCCTATATTCTTCATCTCCCTTCTGGTCCTCCTCCTCCTCCTTCCAGTCCCCCTCTCACTCCTGGCCATTCTCTTTCGCATGCGAACGTGAGCTTCAGCGTGAACGGGACCGAGACAAGAGCCTCCTCCTCCTCCTCCTCCTCCTCTTTCAAGCCCTCCTCTGGCCCCTGTGCCCCATCCTCCTCTTTCTGAGACTCTCCCTCCAGGCTTCTCATCCTCCTGAGCCTCCCCTCCTCCTCCTCCCCCTCCCCCTCCTCCTCCTCCTCCTCCTCCTCCTCCTCGTCCTCCTCCTCCACCTCCTCCCTCACCTGGATCCTCATCACCCTCCTCGTACTCATCATCGCATTCCTCCTCCTCCTCCCCATCATCATCAACATCCTCCTCCTGCCCTCCCCCTCTTCATCCTAGCCTTACTCATCGTCCGTCTCCTGGCCGTCCTCGTCCTCCGAGCCTTGTCCTCCGAGCCCTCACCATCTAGTCCCTCGGCCTTCGCAGCAACATCACTCCTCCTCGCCCCCCCATTTCTCCTCTTTCCTCCTCCTCCTCCTCCTCCTCCTCCTCCCATCCCCCTGCCCCCGACCATGGGGGAACGAAAAGACATGTCGCCGCGCCGCTTGTTCTCGACGCGCCCAGATGGACAACTCCGGCAAACACACGGCAAACACACGGCAAACCCTGCGCCCCGCGCCCCAAAACACGCGGGAAACCCACCGCGTCCGAGACGGAATTTGCCCTGGTGTCCGCGGCGCCCTCCCCAAGACGTACGGCCGCGCGCCGGAACAAACGGCGCGGCGACATTCGAGTACGGGATCGACTACAGCATCGATTTACCCGATGCTTCCAGCCGAATCCACGATTTTTCGTGGCTTCGAAAGAACAATTTCGGGGTACATCAATTCTGTAGTCGATCCCCGACCCGAGACACCTCGATGCTGCCACCCCAGGACCTGCTCCTAGGGCGTGCTCTGCCCAGGAAGCCTCGAGGCGAGTGTGCCCGTGGCGACCATAGGGAAGGCTCGCGGTACCGGCAGCTCTCTCTCCTCTGCGCCCCGGCCTCCCTGCAACGGGGCTCGAGCTGAACGGTGCTTTTCGCATCCGTCTTATTTTCGTCTTCCTCGGTGCTGTCTTCGCTGTGCCTCGGCTGCGACACGAGACAAACCAAAAACGGCCCACGAGATCGCCGAAACACCGGCTAGCTCGAGCCCTGCCCTGCAGGCCGAGACATCCGACGATGCGCTTTTGCTCCATCCGCGGCCCGAGAGGTCCAAACCAATTCATTTGGGGGCAGTACACCCTGCGAAATGCTTAAGAAATCATGGGTTAAGAAATTCATAGTCTCAGAATTTAACTAAAACCCAGAAATTATATCAAAATCTTGGGAATTAAGTTGAAATATTAAGAATAATCGAGACTCTGGCCGAAAATTTAAGTTTTCTTGAGCATCGCCTGAGGTGTATCTTGCCCCGAATCCGCCTTTGATGGCCCCGGTGCCCGACAACGGCCCCCCGGGGCCGACATCTTGACTACCTACCAGACCACCCCAACCCAACCCGAAGACCCGAATTTCGGGTTGGGGGGGGTAAGGGTTCCAAACGTGTTTTTCGATGTTTCCCGACCCCCCCACTGGAAATCGAGGGTAAATCTGAGCCTTCGGGTTGGGTTGGGGTGGTTTGGTGGGTGGTGACATCTATGAACAGCGCTCGGGCTGAAAGCAGTTACCCTGTGACGTACCCAGCCCATCGGCACCAAGGGCTGATGCACGGTGTGCCGACAATAGCGTGGCAACAACACTGCAAGAGACGTGCACTGCGGAGATTCCTCTTCCTATATGTTTACAAGCCGGGGGGGTGGGAACACCGCCTCCCCCCTCCCCCGCAAAAAAAAACTGGACCCCAGGATCGCGGGTTCCTGGGCCCCCCGGACATCCTTGCCAAAGGTCCCCCGGCTCGTCCCCGACCTCCCAGGGCGCTTAGCCAGGTCCTGCCAGCAGGCCCCAAGCGATCAGAGCGGTGATCAGAGAGGCCGAAGAGAGACCCAGGACAGCACAAGGGAACTCCAAGAAGGACCCAGATGGAATCCAGAGGCCCTCAGCAGGGCTCCCAGAATGCAGAACCGCCTGAATTCCATCAAACAACAATACCTTTTCAGCACATTCGCTGCTCGGGTCTTGGCACCGTCCGAAACAGCCAAGAAGGCCTCCGGCTTCGGCCCAAGACGGCCAAAGAGACCCCCAAGAGAGCCTATAGACGGCCATGCTGGCCCCAAGACTGCCCCAACTGAGCCAAAAAGGGGCCCAGTAGGCCCTCACAATGCCCCGAAGCGATCAGAGCGGTGGTCAAAGAGGCCGAAGAAAGACTCAAGACAGCACAAGAGCGCTCCAAGAAGGACCCAGAGGGCCTCCAGAGGCCCCCAAGACGGCCGAGGAGGCACTCAACAGGGCTCCCAGAACGCAAACATCGCTTCACTCCCTTCGGGAAACGCATGTTTTCAGCACATTCGCTATTCGGGTATTAGCACCTTCCATCGCAACAGCCAAAAAGGTTTCCAGTATCGCCCCAAAACGGCCCAAGAGACCCCCAAGAGAGTCTCTACACGGCGTGGGTGGCCCCAAAACAGCCCAAAGAAACCCCGAATGAGCCAAAAAGAAAAGCCCAACAAGCCAGATCACAAGGCCACCGAGAAAAAAACCAAAAGGCAATGGGAAGCCCCCCGAAGGGCCATGGGAGGCCAACAGGAGGGCCTCTGTAGCCCCCGTAAGGTCGCTAGAAAGCCCAAGCTCCCCAACACGGCCCAAGATGGCCCCAAGATGCCTCGAGACGGCCCCAAGCTGGCCGGCCCACCAGGGCTCGAATCCCGGAAATCTGTTGCGAACCCGAGATTGGGTGCAGTCCCTACGAATTACTTGCGTTCGCGCGCCCCGTTTCGAACCGCTGCAGCCCGCTGCAACATTCTTCGCTGTCCCCCGACGGCGCCCTCCTCCTCCTCCTCCTTCTCCTCCTCCTCCTCCTCCTCCTCCTCCTCCTCCTCCTCCTCCTCCTCTTTCTGCCGTTCCACCACTCGTCTTCCCCCACATTCGTTTCCTTTCCTCGCTCTCGGGGATTCCCTCACTCCAACCCTTCGCCCTCCATGAGGCGCTGTTTAGGAGCCCCCAGAAGCCCGGCACGAGCCATGGACCGCCGTAACTTTCGAAGACATATGAAAACCACCGCAGGGAAAGGGCCGAATTTCCAAGGCCATCAGGGATGGTGCGAACGGAACGACCAACACATGCAAGACCTCGAAGACCAAGGTGCATTGCGCGAAGCGCCACTGCATACACAGGCGTATTAATGCATGCGTATACATAAAGCATCACATGCATGTGCGTATACCCACAATGCGTATGTATGTATGTATGTATGTATGTATGTATGTATGTATGTATGAATGAATGTATATATGCACATCTATAGGTATACCGTGTGAGCTGCGCATGACCGAGTCGCAGAACAGAAGCAAGCAAGGCCAGGAGGTAATGTGTTGGGAAGGACAAACCAAAACGAAGACATCGGCGTGGAATCACAATCACCTCGGCAGAAGCAGCGAGATGATGGAACAAGGGCAAGATAAGGCGACTTAGGCGAAGACGCAACCAGACAATGACATATCGCGTTTTTCCATGCCGAAATGCTCAAGACCTGCGCGGCGGGCGCTGCACGTTGCTGCAACGCCTCGGACCATTAAACACTCCCGTTGATGGTGTAAGAAACGGTCAAGGTCTAGCTCGCCCGCGAGCCTCTCTGCTTCCTCCCTGCACCTCTTAGCGCGAGCAGATACAAGGCGCAGGCGCGCCGCCAGATCAGCGGGCGGGCCGCGGGAAAGGAAATCAAGCCCAGGGTGGCGTATCATCAGAAGGTTGTCCACCGTGGTCGCCCCTCGGGCGCATCACGCAGAGATGCAGACAAAGCGCGTCCAAATCGCCCGCGGCCTTGCACCCAACGTTCGCATATCGCAGCCCCACATGGATGGCGAGGTCCCGTTTGGACCTACGTGTGGCCACAATGTGTGGGCTCCCCCAGCAGCCCTCGAAAATGGCGACAATGTTGCACTTCGCACGGCCCACCCCACCCCCCAGGGATGGCGAGGTCTCGTTTGGATCTGCGTGTGGCCCCACTGCGCGGACTCCCCCAGCAGCCATGACAAGTGGCGACAGTTTCGCACTTCACATCCCACCACGGATTGCGAGATTTCGTTAGGATCTGCGTGTGGTCCGACTGTGCTGGCTCCCCCAGCAGGCATGGAAAGTGGCGACAATGTTGCATGTCGCAGCTCTCCAAGGATGGAGATGTCCCGTTTGGATATGCGTGTGGCCCCACTGTGCTGGCTCCCCCAGCAGCCCTCGAAAATGGCGACAACTTCATACTTCGCAGCCGACCAGGGATAGCGAGGTCATGTTCGGATTGTGTCTGGCCCTTCTGTGCTAGCTCCCCCAGCAGCCTTCGAATGTGGCGACAATTTCACACTTCGCGGCCCCCCAGGGATAGCGAGGTGCGAATTGGGTCTGCGTGTAGCCCCACTGTGCGGGCTCTCCCGGCAGCCATGGAAAGTAGCGACAACATCACACTTCGCAGCCCTCCAAGGGTGGCGAGGCTCGTTTGGGTCGTCGTGTGGCCCAACTGTGCGGGCTCCCCCAACAGCCCTTCGAAAGTGGCGAAAGTTTCACACTTCACAGCCCCCCAAGGATGGCGAGGTCCTATTTGGGTCTGCGTGTGACCCCACTGCGCGGGCTCCTCCAGCAGCCCTGGCAAGTGGCGACAGTTTCACACTTCGCAGCTCCCCCAGGGATGGCGAGGTCCCGTTTGGGTCTGCGCGTGGCCCCACTGTGCTGCCCAGCAGCCCTCTAAAGTGGCGACAGTTTCGCACTTCACAGCCCCCAAGAAGGATGCGAGAGGAGAGAACCGAGCGGAGAGCGGGGGGGGGGACGAGGAAGAGGAGATGGAGGAGAAGCTGGAGACCCCACTGTCCGATTCAAGACGAGAACCCAACCAGAGGAGGGTTGGGAACACACGCCTTCGGAGAGCTGGGGTCGTCGTCGTCGTCGTCGTCGCGGGCCGAATCCCTCATCCGATCACGCGAACCGAATCCCGCCCCCCCCTCCCCCAGCCCACCCCTCTGCAGGGGCCTGGCGCATCACCTCCCGGACGGCGAGCTCGTCGCAGAGCCCGTCGCCGCCGATCTCCTCCCCGCGGCGGCCGCCCGCGCAGGCTGGCGGGGCGGGGGCGGGAGGGGGCACGGGAGGAAACCTCGTGGATCGAGCACCGAGGTTCGAGGCAGAATGGGAATTAGCGAGCCGCCACCGTGCCCCCACGGCACGCTGAGGCGCGGAAGGACGCCAGGGTCCGTCTGGCAGGGTGTGTGTCTGAGCTCCAGTCGGGGATCCTCCCCGTCCCTGCCCGCGGACTCCTGCGCGCATCGCCCCTCCTCTCCGAGGCCTTTCCGGGGCCACTTCCCTCGTGCCCGCTAGAGGATGGTGCACACTTCCGACATGGCAGCGAATGCCTAACCCCCCCGTGCGCGAGTGCCCGCTCGAGGATCGTGCACTGCACTGCCCGCCTGGCATCTAATGCCGTACTCCCCCTTCCACGCGTGCCCGCTCGAGAGGTTGCCCTTCCCGCATGGCAGCTGATGCCTGAATCCTCATTCCATGCGCGTCCGCTCGAGGATTGTGTACTTCCCGTATGGCTGCCAACTCCTAGACCACTCATCCCATGCGCACCCGCTCGAGTATCGTGCACGTCCCGCATTCCCAGGCGCTGCTCCCAAGCGCTCCAGGGCCTCCAAAGCCACGACCCCTCATTGAAAATGATGGATCTGCGTCACGAGCTTCGAAGACGGGCCGCGCAAGCACCCAAGATGGCTCAAGATGCCTCGAAGACGACCTACGATGGCCCCAAGGCGGCCGGCTATTGATTCAAGACGGCCCAAGGTACCTTCAAGAGGGCCCACAAGGGCCACAAGAGAACCTCCAGCAGGGCCCGGAGAAACCAAAATCATTGATTTCCCTAGGGTGTGTGTATGGTGTTCGAATGCTCGTCTTTTCGGGCTGCCGTCAGCTCAAGACGGCCCAAGAGGACTCCACGATGGCATAAGAAACATCCAAGACGGCCCCAACACGGCCCAAGAGGGCATCCCGTGGGACCCAAGACGACCTTAGAAGACCCGTCGACGGCCCACGACGGCGCCAAGACGACCCCACGACGCCCCACAACCCATCATACGGGCAAGTGGGCACCAAGACGGCCCAAGAGAGCCCCAAGGCGGCATAAGAGGGCCCCACTACGGCCCAAGAGGCCCCAAAGGGACCCCCGAGACTGCCGCACAAGATACCGGGCCAGTCCCAAGACGGCACAAACGCATCATCATCATCATCATCATCATCATCATCATCATCATCATCATCATCATCATCATCATCATCATCACCACCACCACCATCACCACCACCACCATCATCATCATCATCATCATCATCATCATCATCATCATCATCATCATCATCATCATAATCATCACCATCCTCATCGTCATCATCATCAGCATCATCAGCATCATCAGCATCAGCATCATCAGCATCATCGTCATCAGCATCATAACCAACATCATCATCGGCATCATCAACATCTTCATCTCCGTCAGTATCATCATCAGCAGCAGCATCAGCAACATCATCAACAACAGCAGCATCATCGTCATCATCCGCATCATCAGCATCACCACCACCACCTTCACCATCATCATCATCATCATCATCATCATCATCATCATCATCAGTGCCATCACTACAATTACCATCATCCAGCATTATCAGCATCATCATCACCACTATCATCATCACCACCACTACCATCATCATCATCATCATCATCGCAATCATCAGCATCATCATCATCATCATCATCATCGACAGCTGCAGCAACACCAGGATCATCATCAACAACGCCACATTCATCAGCATCATCAGCATCATCCTCATCACCACTATCATCACCATCATCAGCATCATATTCCGCATGCGCATCATCATCATCATCATCATCATCATCATCATCATCACCGTCAGCATCATGATGATCGGCATCATCGTCATCATGATCATTGTCACCACTTGCATCTCCACCATCGTCATCGACACCGCCGCCATCACCGTACACAGCATCACCATGATCACCATCAGCATCGTCATCAACATCGTCGCTATCATCATAATCGCAATCATTATCATCATTACGAGCATGCGCGTCAACATCCTCATCATTCGCATCATCAACATAATCATGAGCAGCGTAATTGTCATCGTCATCGTCACCGTCGTCATCACCATCATCAGTTACAGCATCATCAGCATCATCATCATCATCATCATCAACGTCATCATCATCATCATCATCATCATCATCATTGTCATCATCATCATCATCATCGTCCTCACCATCATAACCACCATCAAGCCCCCGTCAACCACATAGTCCTCATCATCCTCATCACCGCTCTCCCAAGCCTGGCGACACGAAGTGTCACACATGGCGGCCCCCCGCGCCCGCTCGAACAGACGCCGGCTAGAATGCTGGGCTGGCACGGTGGCGGGACTCGCCGCAGGCAGCTAGGTAATATGGAAAAGCATGACAATCCGATTACCCTAACCACGGCTGGTTATACTTTATAAAGTGAATCAAAATCGGATGGAGGTGTATGCTTCTGCGAACGACATCCGGGAGACTTGCGAACTGCGCGACACGCAGGACACCGATCAAAGAACAAGGGCTTGATAGAGATGATTCGCGGGGTCCCTGGGAGACAACTTCGCATATCACAACTTTCACACGCTGGCCCCCTCAGCACCCCTCGAAAGTGGCGACAGTTTCGCACATCGCAGCCACCCAGGGATGGCGAGGTCTAATCTGAATATGCGGCGAATGCGCTGGCCCCCCCCAGCAGCCCCCGAAAGTGGCGACGGTTTCGCAGATCGCAGCCCCCCAGGGATGGTGATGTCTAATCTGAAGCTGGGGTGAGTGCCCACTATGCTGGCATCCCCCCAAGCAGCCCTCGAAAGTGGCGATGGTTTCGCAGATCGCAGCCCCCCCCCCCCGGATGGCGAGGTTTAATCTGGATCTGCGGCGAGTGCCCACTATGCTGCCACACCAGCAACCCTCGAAAGTGGCAACGGTTTCGCAGATCGCAGCCCCCCAGGGATTGCACGGTCTATTCTGGATCTGCGGCGAATGCCCAGTATGCCAGCCCGCCCAACAATCGCGACCCTTTCGCACATCGCAGCACCCCAGGGATGGCGAGGTCTATTTTGGACCTGCGGCGACCCAATATGCTGCCCCCCCAGAAGCCCTCGAAAGCGGCGACCTCTTCGCAGATCGCACCCCCCCAAGGATGGCGAGGTCTAATCAGAATCTGCGGCGACCCACTTTGCTGCCCTCCCCACAAGCCCTCGAAAGTGGCGACAGCTTCGCACATCGCAGCCCCCCCAGGGAGATTGAAGTCTAATATGAATCTGCGGCGAGCACCCACTATGCTGGCACCCCCCCAGCCGCCCTCGAAATTGGCAACAAATTCGCAGATCGCAGCCCCCCGTGGATGGCGAGGCCTAACCGGAGTCTGCGGCGAGTTTCCACTGTGCTACCCCGAGCAGTCCTCGAAATTGATACCTCATTCGCAGATCGCAACCCCCCATGGATGGCGAGGCCTAACCGGAAGGCAACAACGAGAGAAGCGCGACATCATCATCATCATCATCATCATCATCATCATCAGCAGCAGCAGCATCATCATCATCATCATCATCATCCTCATCATCATCATCAGCATCATCATCATCATCATCATCATCATCGTCATCATCATCATCATGATCATCATCATCATCATTATCATCATCCTCATCATCAGCATGAGCAGCATCATCATCACATTCATTACTAACACCATTACCGTAATCATCTTCATCACACTCATCCTGATCCTCATCCTTATCACCCTCATTATCTTGAGCCTCATCATGATCATGACATGACCATGTTCATCATCGTCAACATCATCATCATCATCATCATCATCATCATCATCATCAGCAACATCATGATCCTCATCCTGATCCTGATCCTCGGCGGCAACATCTTTACCAACACCGTAGTCGTCGTTCTTGCCGTCGTCGTGTCGTCACCATCACCGTCAGCGTCAGCGTCACCATAACCATCACCACCATTACCAGCATCATCGTCGTCATCATCACCACCATCATCATCATCATCAGCATCGTCATCATCATCATCATGATCATCAGCCGCATCATGATCATCATCATCGCCATCATAATTATTAGCATCATCCTCCTCATCAGCATCGACACCATCATCGTCATCATCAGCATCATCAGCATCGGCATCAGCAGCATCATCATCATCATTATCATCATCCGCGCCATCATCATCGCCATCAACAGCATCACCAGCAACATTTATCATCAGAAGCATCATGATCTTCATCATCAGCATCACCATCACCTGTATCATCGTAACCACCACCATCACCCCACCATTACATGACCGACATAATCATCAACAACATCAGCATCATCATAATCATCATCCGCATTAGCATCATCAATATCAACATCATCAGCATCACAATCATCATCATCACCACCACCATCATCATCGTCATGAGCATCACCAGCAGCAGCAACACCACCGCCACCAGCATCATCAGCAGCATCATCGTCAGCATCAACATCAGCACCAACATCACCATCATCATCACCATCACCACGACCACCATCATCACCGTAATCATCACCATCACCAAACCAATAACCATCACCATCACCATCATCATCGTCATCATCAGCGTCGTCACCATCACCATCACCATCATCGTCATTATCAGCATCAGCATCGTCATCATTATCAGCATCATCACCATCGTCATCATCAGCATCATCATCACCACCAGCAGCATCATCAGCACCATCATCGTTTTTGTTATTGATTGCCCGCTCGAGCGCGGGGCGGGCCCAACGCTACACGAGTGTGCACCGAGACCCCCGAGGTGTCCGCAACGCCGTGGCCCTCCCCCTCCTCCGCGGTTTCTTCTTCTTCTTCCTCCTCCTCCTCCTCCTCCTCCTCCTCCTCCTCCTCCTCCCCCTCCTCCTCCTCCTCCTCCTCCTCCTCCTCCTCCTCCGTCTCTTCCTCCTCCCGGGTCATCCTTTCCGGTTCCACGCCAGCCCCCCGTGCTGCTCCCATATCCTCCCCCGCTCCTGCACCGCCCGCCTCCCCCTCCCTCTTCTCCCCTGTGGGGCCCGGCGCGCGAGCCTGCCGCTGCCTTCGCCTACCGCTGCCTGCGCACCCCTCCTGCTCTCTCCTTGTCCTCCTCCTCGGTCTCCCTCCCTCCTTCCTTCCCTCCCTCCCTCCTTCTCCTCCTCGGTCTCCCTCCCTCACTCCTTCTCCCTTCCTCCCCTCCACCTCCTCCCTGATCCGACCCCTTCCCTCCCCCCCCGCCTTGAGCACGCCCAGCACGAGCGGCCTCCCCTTTGGCCGACCTCCCGACCGCCTCCTCCCCGCACGGCCCCGCGCCCTCGCCCAGGTTCTCCCAGGCAGCTGCCCACTACTGCCCCGCCCCTCGTCGAAGAGCTCGCAGCCGTCGATGTGCTCCATCACTAGGTGCATGGTCGACTCGTCCTTGGGGAAAAAGCGTCGCATTGTGCCCCCCATCCCCCCCACGAGCATCTCCCTCTTCCCACTCCTCCTCCTCCTCCTCCTCCTCCTCCTCCTCCTCAATTCCTTTCCCTTATGAATAACTTCTCCCTGTCGCACCCCGAGGACAATTTTTAGGGCGGGCCGAGCGTTTCGCCGGAGACTTCCTTAATTACCATTTATGATTCTGAAGCTTGAAGATTGGCATCAGCTTCGCAGATGGAGGGCGGGCCGCTTTCAAAATGTGGCTCTCGCCTTAGCGCGGCGCACATTCGTTCTAAACACTTGCAAGAACTTCACGGAGCGAGGGCGGCTGGTTTTCAAAATGTGGCTCTCGGCTTAGCGCGGCGCACATCCGTTCTAAACAATTGCACAATTGCAAGAGCTTCACGGATTGAGGGCGGGTGGTTTTCGAAATGTGGCCCTCGCCCTAGCGCGGCGCACATTCGTTGTAAACAAGTGCAAGAAGTTCGCGGATTGAGGGCGGCTGGTTTTCAAAATGTGGCTCTCGCTGTAGCGCGGCGAACATTCGTTTGAAACATTTGAGAGAGTTTCACGGATTGAGGGCGGTTCCTTTTCAAAATGTGGCTCTCGCCTTAGCGCCGCGAGCATGATTCAAAACTATTTTCAAGAGTTCCACGGATTCCGATCATCAACGTACCAGAAATGGTGTTTTGGAAAGACTCAGGATACCCAGCTGGGGTTGGGTACCCAGCTGGCACGGCGGGATACCCATCCGGCGGCCACTGGATGAGGGGTACCCAGCCGGCAAGGCTGGATACCCATCCGGCGGCCGCTGGATGGGTAGGGTACCCAGCTGGCACAGCGGGATACCCATCCGGCGGCCGCTGGATGGGTATCTGGCTGTGCAGGGTGGACGCCCGAGAGGATACCCAGCCGGCGGCGGGAGTACAGCATTGGCTCTCCACCCCTCCCGCCCTCCCGCCACTCCCCTGTGCCCCCTTGGGCACGCGCCCCCGGCTCAGAGTATTAAAGCATTGCCCCGGCTGCCCCGGGCGGCCCGCAGCGCCGCCTCTCCGTCCCTGCCGATGCTGTTGCTGTACAGGTTCAGCCTCTGCCTAGGCTGGGCAGGGAGGGCAGCGCCCTCGCCAGGGCCTGCGCGCCCTCGTCGCCGATGCTGTTGTTGGACAGGTTCAGCTCGTGCAGGCGGGGCAGGGAGGGCAGCGCCCCCGGCCGCCAGGGCCTGCGCGCCCTCGTCGCCGATGAAGTTTTTGGACAGGTTCAGCTCGTGCAGGCCGGGCAGGGAGGGCAGCGCCCCCGCCAGGGTCTGCGCTCCCTTGTCGCCGATGCTGTTGTTGCACAGGTTTAGCCTCTGGAGGCCGGGCAGGGAGGGCAGCGCCCCCGCCAGGGCCTGCGCACCCTCGTCGACGATGCTGTTGTTGTGCAGGATCAGCTCGTGCAGGCCGGGCAGGGAGGGCAGCGCCCCCGCCAGGGCCTGCGCGCCCTCGTCGCCGACGCTGTTGTTGTGCAGGATCAGCTTGTGCAGGCCGGGCAAGGAGGGCAGCGCCCCAGCCAGGGCCTGCGCGCCCTCATCGCGATGCTGTTGTTGGACAGGTTCAGCCTGTGCAGGCCGGGCAGGGACGGCAGCGCCCCCGCCGGGGCCTGCGCGCCCTCGTCGCCGATGCAGTTGTTGGACAGGTTCAGCTCGTGCAGGCCGGGCAGGGAGGGCAGCGCCCCCGCCAGGGCCTGCGCGCCCTCGGCTCCGAGGGTGTTTCTGTTCAAATTCAGTTCCTGCAGGCCGGGCAGGGAGGGCAGCGCCCCCGCCAGGGCCTGCGCGCCCTCGGCGCCGATATCGCATTCGTCCAGGTTCAGGCGCTCCAGGCGGGCGTACAGCCGCAGGCAGCCGGCGAACCCCGCGGCATGCTCGGGGGTCGGGGGTGGCAACCCGGTGAAGTCCAGTGTCGTCACGCCGCCCAGCTGCGCGCGGCTCGTCCGGCGGAAGAGCGCCTTCGCCGCCTCCCAGTCCGTGCCGTTGGTGAAAGACTTGTCCTCGATGAGCCGGTCGAACTCGTCTGGGCCCACTGGCCACCTCCTCCCGGCCTCCGTCGCCCCCGCCCCCTGCCCCAGGTCGGCCACGGCGTCCCACATCGCCTCCCAATGGTAGACCTGCTTGATCTACTCCGCGGAGCAACGCTCGTGCGTCGTCCAGCCAGACTGTTCGTAGCCGCACTCGCGCGCGCTGCCCCGCTCGCCGGGGTGCTGGGTGAGCAGGAGAACGGTGGTGGCCTGGTGGGCGTACCAGAGGTCCATTGTCTCCTCCAGCCCGTGCTTGAAGGCGGCTTTCTCGGCGGGAGTCCGCTTGGCCTCGTGCGCGGCCTCCTGTGCGTCCTTCCCGGTTTTGCCCTGCCGCCAGGCGGCGGCCTTCGCCTCCTCGGCCTTGATCGGGTCGCCCTGCAACAGCGAAGGCCAGTCCCAGAAGCCCCCCATCTCGCTGAACCCCCTGAAGGAACCGTAGGCTGTGGAGTAATTGCGGCGTTCTGTCTCCAGGGTGTCAATCACCAAACTCAGCTGCACCCCACTGGGGTCGGGATGCTCGCGTGAGTCCCAGCAGGACGAGATGGTGACGATCGGCGCCACCTGGTCTCTTCCTCCTCGCCCGCCGGCCTCCCAGACGGCCCGCAGATCGTCCGCGGACACGAACGCCTCCTCCGGCAGCTCTTGGCGCCTATTCAGGACCGTGCCGCGCTGCTGCAGCAGCCGCGACATACGGACCAAGCGCACAGGGTGGAGGCCCTCGACAGTGAACGCGAGCGCGTCGAAGAGGCTCGCGGCGTCCATGTACCGCGTCAGGTCGAACGACTCCTGCTCCTCCTTCTTGGGGACCTCCTGCTGGTGCTGCGGGTGGACGGGCGCCATCAAAGATTCGAGCAAGGCGTCGCTGTCCTGCTGGTCCTCGGGCACGGGCACCTCCGCGACGTCTGGCGTGTGCGGGGGCGGCCCGCAGGCCTGCTGGTCCTCGGGCGCGATGGCCTGGCGGGAGGCCACGCAGCAGCCCATCGTGGCGGCGCGGGGGAGCTGCTTTGCAGAGGCAGGAGGGGCGCTCGCGCGTGCTTCAATCTTCGCAGGGGCTAGATAGGATAGCGCACGAGGCCAACGTGGAGACAAGGCGGAGAGATGCGATGGCCAGGGAAGGACGCAGAGACAGGGGGCGAAGGAATGGAGAGGGACGGAGTTTGAACACTAAGTGTGTATGTGGATATTGGGTGGACCATTGGAACCCACTGCCAGCCCCATGCGGGGCTTTGGCAGCGAGGAGGAGGGCAAGTCCCGATGAGCACAGGCCTCGCGCGGGACCTCCGCGTGCACCTGGGGGGGCGCGCTTATGGGAGAACACCCGCACCTTACCTATGATGCGGGACGCCTCCTTCAGGCTGCCGTTCCACAGGGGGCCGCAGCGTGATGCGCCACACTGCGTACTGCAATACCCCCGCCGGCAACCAACACGGCACCCAACCACGCCACGCCGTGGTCAGCTTCTGGTGCCACGGGGCAACATGTCCCGGGACCGTAAGTATCCGGAACGTGCCATGGGATACCGGCCCGCGCGTCACTCTACCCCACACGAGGCACGAGCAAATCTCATGACGAAACTGGGCGGGCGGGCCCAGGGAAAGTTTCGCCAAGGCTCGAACCCACGGCTATGGGTAACGACGGCGATGGTGACGACGGCGATGATGGCGATAGCATCGACGACGATCTCTCTCCGTAGCCGTTTGTGCTCAAATTGTTGAGGCCAGGTGAAAATAACATCTGATCACCGAAGGTGCTCTGATGAGGCAAACTATCGTGGCACAAAGCTTCGCCCCCTGACCGATGAGATTCCCGCATCCCTGCGATATCCCCCGCCCCACGAAGATCATACTGACAGGCGCAGCCCCCCTTTCGCATAATTTCAGCCCACCATCTTCGCAGGGGCTAGATAGGATAGCGCACGAGGCCAACGTGGAGACAAGGCGGAGAGATGCGATGGCCAGGGAAGGACGCAGAGACAGGGGGCGAAGGAATGGAGAGGGACGGAGTGTGAGCACTAAGTGTGTATGTGGATATTGGGTGGACCATTGGAACCCACTGCCAGCCCCATGCGGGGCTTTGGCAGCGAGGAGGAGGGCAAGTCCCGATGAGCACAGGCCTCGCGCGGGACCTGGGCAGGGGCGCTTCCCCCCAACGCCGCTCTCACCCCTCCTCTTCGCATGGCTCTGACCCACGCCCAACGCCGCCCGCAGAGGCAGCGGAGACGCACGGGTGCATAGAGAGACCGGCGCGAGGGTCTGCAGCAGACTTCCAAGGCGCACGCACGCGCACACACGACTGGTAGCCCGCACGTCCTCTCAGGGACGAATTTCGGCCACGTCCGCAGGACGCAGGTTTATGTTTATGGAAGGCGTTTTGTTGCTCCCCCTTGCCGCATTTTCCCCCACCTCTTTCCTGTGGTCCTTTACCTCTCCCCCCGCCACTTCCCCCCCCCCCCCCTGCTCTCCTCGGCCCCCTCGATGGGGGGCCGGCCTCGTGGCGCCGAAACGGCGTTGAGGCCCGGGTCTGCGCTTTGGGCGGAGCTGCGCGCCCGTCGGCTGGGAATCCCTGGAGGTGCTCAGAGGTTGGGGGGGCGGGGGAGGTAGTGGGTCTACGGAGGCTACGGAGGAGGAAAGGAAAGGATGCTTGAGTTTTCTCTGGGAGCAAACTCTCAGGACATGCAGTCTCGCTGTTTTCCGCCCAGCACCACAGCTGCTGGTGCGTCAGGCGGGAGAACGGGATAGGAAGCGCTGGCTGGCGGAAAATCAAAAAAACCACCTGCCAGCATCGAGGCCACGGTGGGGTCGTCCAACGCGTCCCGGGACAATACGTCCGCGGGGTCGTCGGCGCTGGGGACGTGTTCGAACCAGCATCTGCAACCCAAGGCCGCCAGCAGTGCCGACGCCTGTAGCGCCAAGCGGCACATCGCGGCTGTCGGAGAGCCGGCTTTGACCGGCGACGTGGCTGCAGAAGTGTTGTCCACCCACCAAATGACATCTTGG